ATTCAGAGCCCTGCTGTTCCTCATTTATTTAATCAGGGAGTGACTTACACCTGAAATGCTAAGTGAATGCAATCAACCTGCAGAGTAGTGTCCTGAGGACCACTGACCCACTGACAGCCCAGCACCAGATACAGACAGCTATGTGGATTAATGACAAACTGCTTATGGCTTACCAATAAGGTCCAGTTCAGTTTCCTTTTGATTTAGAGAGTGAGGTTAAATACTATTTCCGTGTATGCTAAATAAGAGGGGAACTCAGCAACTTGTGTCTTCGACATATGTCAAACCAATATGTGGCCTTGGCTACATAAAGATCTTACACTTCACTCTTCTCTATGCTGGGAAATCCACTACAACCCCCGCCCTTCTTCTTCGTTGGGTACCCCATTGCTTCTTTTATTCACTCATACCAAAAGAATGCCCTCCTTACCTTCCAGTGTCACCTCTTTCCCGGCCCGTTTCAGCGCCTGCACCGCCTCGTCGTGGGTCGCATCCCGCAGGTTCATGCCGTTCACGGACAGGACCGCGTCCCCCACGTACAGGGACTGGGTTTGATCCGCTGCGAGCCCCTTGAAAATCTTACTGATGAGTATAGGCATTTTGTTCTCCTTTCCTCCTTTGATGCTGATCCCGAGACCCCCGATCTCCTGCTTTGTCACCTTGACGCACCGCTTTCTGTTGGCGATCGCCTCGGGCACTCGCTCCGGGAGGTCCGTGAACGCGTTGCGCACAGTTTGGGGACCGTTGTTGGAGTTGGTATTGTTGTTGTCAAGGTAAGATCCGTTGGTAACGCCGTTGGAGTTGACATTGTCGCTCACGCTGTCTGTAACGCTGCTTTCCTCGCAGCTCAACGTGAGCGCTTCCTCGTTTAAGTTGACCAAAACTTTGTGCCACCGCTCCCGCACCAAAACCTCCACAAACCCACTTTTTTGCACTCCGGAGGCACCTGAAACTCCCGTCCCTAGTACCACCGCCATCTTTGGAGCATGTCTTTAAAATGCCATGTGATTTAGTTCCCAGCACGCTCCCAGCACATGAACTTCCACAGTGCCTGCCTCTCATTCAAGGCTGGACTTTTGCCCCTCTCAAGTTTTCTGCGGGACTTGTCGAGACGTCCTCACCATCCGACCAGCCACCCTGAGCCTTCTCGGCGCACACTGTAATCCGCTCCGCCTGCCACAGATCCTGTCTGCTGGGTGGAGTTTGCTCCCCCCCCCGCCGTCAGCCGATCCCATCTCCTGATCAGATCCTGTGTGCACAAAAAAGTGTTCACCATCTGCCGGGAAGTCTGAGAGGTGACAGCTAGAGCAAAGTTGATCAGCACATTCTGGCAAATATGTCCCGTTATCAATCAGACTACACTTTGCACTATAATACCAAAAATTATATTGTGTGATATCAAAACGTATTGACGTAGGCTACTTGCTTTAAAATCAACTTAAATAGCCTATTTTCTGAATAAAAGAGGCTATTTCGCGTACAGTAATTAGGCCAAGTGGTGATGAAAAAAATAGGCCTAAAGGAAAAGTACATTTAGAAGCTTTTAAAATAAATAAATAGAACATAAGTTTCCATCTCATAGACCTGTAACCCTCTGTCACAGAAAGCGCTCCCGTTGCAGACCTGAGGTCGGTTGCGCGCGTACAGGAATGCGCATGTGCCCGTGTTCATGTTACAAAGAGAAGGAGAGAGAGGTGGGTGATTTTGTTTGGGGCTCTGACCTGGAGAGTCCCCCTCAGAGGCCTAACTCTACACCTCCTCCATCATCATTCTTATTATTAATGTTCTAGAGGACATCCCAATGCTCTGTCGAGCCTACGGGCGCCTCATGGTTCAAATATTTGAACTTTCAGACTGTGAGGGGTGAATCCGGTGTCACCACGAGAAAGACTGGAGCCTCTGGGTGCTCATGTGGCCTGTCTGAAGCGAGGCATCATTCCTGTAGTAACCAATGACTGATGGAAACTGTGCCTCACGCTGATATATTGGCAAAGCTACGACACCTACTGGTTACAATTCAAATTGACGTTGGCCTAACAGCAAGAGTTCTTTGCTTTGCTTAAAAACAGGGAAACCCTCACAGTTAAAAAGGCAAAGTTACAAAAGAAACAGTATACATCAAGTGCAATTAAAACAGTAAACAAAATGACATTCAAATATCCTCATGCAGGGAGATTTATAATTTAGATGCAACTATTGGAGTTGATTTCTGATACATGTCTTTGAATCCGTTTTCTATGGGCATTCATTGTCTCATTCTCAGTAGACGTAACAAATTACAGATTCTTGTTCAATAAAGATTTCTTCTGTTTTATTCTACAAACACAACTTCTTGTGATTGTAAATTTGAAAAGTTCCCTGACACAAACTGACTTTTATTCCCCCAAAATATTGTTATTCCTTCCAAGGAACATGAATGGTTCCTACACAACAGCTAGTTATAAGTTAAACTCCCCCACAGGTCTGAGCCTTACCCCTCCCACTGTTTAGTTTTGATATATGGGGCATGACATGATGTGTAAAAGTATTTACATTCGTTTTAATGTAAATTTCATGAAACTGGTCAAATATGGATGGCATTGGCCTTGCAAGGTTCAGGAATTTATTCTCGCTATTGCTATTATTCATCTATTTTATCTCCTGTTGATTTTTGCTGACATGTGCCAATCACCCTGTATCTCCATCTGTCTTTGTCTTTTTCTGCCTCTCCATATATCCCACTTTCTCAGCTGGTCGCAGCAGATGGCTGTCCACCATGAGTCTGGTTCTTCTTGAAGTTTCTGCCTGTTTAAAAAAAAGGTTTTATTTTGCCAATATTGCCAATTGCTAGCCAATTATTAATTTATGTTGGGTCTTTCTAATTAATATACAGTAACATAGAATGCAGTCTAGACCTAGATGACTATTGTTGTGGTTTGGTGCTTTTTTTATGGTTGATAGATTGATTTCAAACAGTCATGTTGAAGATATATATTTCTAAATTGTTAAGTTTAATTAACTACAGTCACAATACTTAGCTAAAAGCTTGAAAAGATCTCTTTAATGTATAGCCAAATGCTGAATCAGTTTTTTTTAACACATTATCATACTATTTATTTCAAAGGGAGTTTCTCAGAATTTGTGTTTGCCATTCTCCCCTTCATGTTCAAAACTGATTTCACTGTGTGAATATATGTCTTTGCCTCTATAAATGTAAAGCAACGTTTTTTTTTGATATCATGATTTGATAATGTATAATTCCTTCTGTGTGTCATAATTAATCATTGTTTAATCACAGAGATATATATAGTTCATGCATGCTGTGTTTGCCTGCCCTCTAAACTACATCTGATCATTACAACTGAACTGTACCAAACAGGGGATTAGCGTATTTATTTTCTCGCCTGAAATGGACTAAGACTATTTTGGCTTAATGAGGTGTAGGAGCAGCAACAGATTTTTTCTTTTATGTGGAAATGAGCTATCAGATGAAATGTACATTCTTTGTTGTGGTAATGGCCTTCAAGACAAACAAACAAACACATATTGCAATATTTTTTTACAGGTGAGGTTATTTAGCAGTTTGTATTTCATCTTTTTGAACCTCCAGTCAGCCATGGCATGTTGACTTCATACTTAAACAGTAAGCAGCAGCAGAGAGATGCTTTACACATAACCATGTACATGTGGTTTATATTATTGGTCTTTGAACTTGCTTTCTGAACTGTTAAGAAAGAGAGCCATGCCATGTATATTCCTCTCATGTTTTAAGAGGAACTGAAGCTTAAAATAAGGAAATGGTTCAAGTGTTTTGCCAAAAAAAAGCCAGGAATTATGGTATCATGCCCTTACCTACATTTATGCCTTTGTGCATATGTTCAATACATTAGTGGGACCTCATAAAAAACCTTGCCCCAAAGCATTATATCGGCCAAACCTCCACAGCACAGGTACCTTTAATATTAAATACATTTAAAGGTGTGCTTTGACAACAGTCATACACACAGGTTAAAAAAGGCACAAGCAGATGAACCTGATTTTTTTTTACATTGGTTCAGACACAATAAAATGTATATAAACAACACTTTGAGTCTGAATAACTGATTTATTCAGACGTAAGTAAGTTTCAATTGCACACTAAAAGAATGCACTTTAAGTGCATGTAAAGGCTTGTTGTTAGACAGGAAGCCAGAAACTGACACAGATGCAGTTGGAAGGCTTGAAGGAGATATACTTCAGGTGAGAAGGCCTAATGCTGACTGGCTGGCTGGTTTGAGCTGAGTGACTGACTCAGAAAAACTTTGACACTGATGTTATCTCTTAGGCTGACTTACGTGATCTTCAGAGATGCATTGTTCATTGTTTGGAAAGTGTTTTAGATAACACTAGAAAAACAGGAAATAAGGAAATAAACTACCACTGAGTAGACAGAATAATCTGTCGGTAAGTGGAGCAGAAACCAGGGTTCTTATTATGAAGCAGATGAGTTAATGAGTAGCATGTATGTAGCCAGATGCTTGATTGCACAAGCCTTGCCGTTCAGAGTTTGGGGCACACACACACACACACACACACACACACACACACACACACACACACACACACACACACACACACACACACACAAGGACAGCAAATACACAATGATTACAGCCAGGGTTTTTGAAAGTGCATACCTGTAAGTGCACTATAAAGTTTGTGTTGTCTCTGCAACAACATGAGCAGATAAAGGAAGTAAGAGCTTGATTAACTCAAAAACAAACTGATTTCCTTTTGTTGCGTTTAGTTACAGATTCTTGATATGGTTTGAGTGAATCTGCAAACGCACACTGACACACAAAAATGACACAAGGAAGTTGTACTGAAAAAATCTTTTCTAATCGAGTATCATAAATCATGCTCAAAAATATTTGTGTGTCATTTTTTGTATGACAAAGTAATTTGAGGTCAAAGCAGAATCAGATGTGAAGTGTGAGTCATGGGAGGTGGAGCAACATTTTCAGTGAAAACGAAACTTAACATTGGAACAGTCAAAAACAGTTCAACACAGTTCAGTTTGAACAGAAAGACACAGATAGGCTGACAACTGGGCAGAGCGCTCCATTAACAAGGTAAAGTTCAACACCCCTATTAATCTTTTTACACTAGACAATCTTCTGAAATAGGTGAATTGCATTTCTCTTAATCAGGTTGACACTTTTTTGTAATGTGAAAGGATTTTCTCCAAACTTCAGTTTGCAGCCTCTTACTGACCCACTGATCACTTCCTTTTTATATATATATATACTTAACACAAGTGTGTTACCCAAATAATAATACCCAAAAATCTGCAGTATTGATTGTATTGTTATTTATAGGTCATAGTTGTAGCTTTAGTTGCCAAACAATCACTACCATTGAAGATGATTTGCTTTCCTCTAGATATGGCCACAGACAGCAGTTTCTTGTCTGAAGATCAGTTCATGTGCTCCATCTGTCTGGAAGTTTTCACCGAGCCTGTTTCTATCCCATGTGGACACAACTTCTGTAAGGCCTGTATCAGCCAGCACTGGGAAGGCAAGGAGCTGTGTAAGTGTCCCCTGTGCAATGAGAAATTCAGCAAAGGGCTCAAACTTTGTGTCAACACGGCATTCAGAGATGTAGTGGAGAACTTCAAGAAGAGACTAAATGAGATATCTAACAATGATGCTCCAGCCAAAGCAGGGCAGGTTGAATGTGACTGCTGCCTGGGCACAAAGTTTAAAGCCTCTAAAACTTGTTTGGTGTGTTTGACTTCATTTTGTGAGACACACCTCGAACCTCATCGGAAAGTGGCTGCCCTACAGGGACACAAACTGACTAACGCTATCCACAACCTGGAGGACAAAATCTGTAAGAAACACAACAGGATTCTGGAGCTCTTCTGCAGGAACGACCTGACTCGTATTTGTGTTCATTGTACAGAGCATAGCGCTCATGACACTGTCCCTTTAGAGGAAGCATATGTGGACAAGTCGGCTCAGATGGTGATTCAAAAAGTGGAAGTACAGGAAGTTAAACGGAGGCGGGGAAAGAAGGGTCAGAAGTCTAAAATGCAGACCACGAGAAAAGCCAAAGATGAGGCAATAGAAGAACAAAGCCAATGTTGCTTTTTTCAATGCCTACCTGGCAATATGGGTTGTTCTGAAGGGAGATTCTGCTATCACGTTCAGCTCCCAAGAGGCACCGACTGGTTTTTAGGAGTAGTTAGAGAGTCATTATTAAGGAAAAAGAGCATCCAAATTAACCCTAGGACTGGAAGCTGGATCATAAAGTATATTCATAAATGTGGCTGTGGCATTGCTCTACATAAAAAACCTGTTGTGTTTGGCTTCACGAAAAAACCTGAGAGAATCATGGTGTGTGTAGACTATGACAACGGATTAGTGTCCTTCAGTGATGCAGAAACTGGCACCCCCATTTACTCTTTCACTGGCTGCAAATTCCAAGAGAGAATTTTTCTGTTCTGTGGTCAAGACAATTCTGGCTGGATACAATGGCTACAAATGAAGGTTCAGACCATGAATCCTCGGGATGTCTTATTATGCTTTCTTTTTATTATATTTTTTCTGATTTTATTTTCACAAAATTAAACGTCACATCATGTTTTACCAGAGCGTATTTCAAACCATTCTCATCAAATCTGAATACAGTCAGAACTAATCATGAAAGACTCATCTTTTTAAGGGCAATGTAAGTAAGTTCTGTGTAAAGGAAGTTTTATCGTTTTATCAGTGTATCAGTTTTACGTTTAAAAAAAAGGGTGAATGTATGTTTAAAATCTTTTGAAACATTGAAATAAAATAACATGTTATTGCTACAGTTGTGTCTTTATTTGGGGATGATGAATGGTTCAAATTAATTGATATATGGTGGTCAATGTAATATTATTTTGTCATGACCTGCTTCTGCATAAAGTACAACAACTATTATTATTTCCACATTAAAATCATTAAAACGCAATTCAACCAGCAAGCAGTAAGAAACACAGATTTTTCACTAAACTTACTTGAAGAATATTAAAAAGCAACTTTTCTCACACCTTACTGTATATATGTAAATATGTGGCAATGTTGCATTTTTTAAATTCATGATATTATCAGAGTACATTGCTAAGGAAACTCCCATGTTCCAAATACTGATGTAGGCTAATGCCAATTAGGTAAACGGCCTACTTTAACTATGAGTGTTAAATAATAACTCACAATGTTACAGACACATCTCAAATCTGTCAAACTAAAGAATGACCTTGCTGAGAAAAACACTATGGATAAAATACATCGTCCTTCCTTTCTTTCAACAAAGGGTGTTTGTGATTTAAGCGGTAATAATGGTATAATCAAGTTTATTTATCTGATTTAGTTCAACAGCATGTCTGTACTTTTAAATTTAACTGTTTTTTTATTCAGATGTCTTGGTCTGGGGACAGCCACACTCTTTATTGTATGATTAAAATGAACATAGTGGCTAGAAACCTTCTCTAAAAGAAGCACAGAGGAGCGTGTAAGACTGCAGCTCTGCCTCCTGGTCTAAACTCTGAGATGTCATGGTTTAATAAACTCAGCCTTAATTCAAGATAATAAGGGCTGCACCATCCAAGGTGGGATAGATACTGTCTCTACTAATCAGACCTGGAGCTGATCCCAGCTGTCTTTCGGCAAGAGGCGGGGTACACCCTGGACTGTTTGCCAGTCTATCACAGGGCTGACATATAGAGACCTACAACCAGCTACTCTCACATTCACACCCACGGGCAACTTAGAGTCACCTAACAAGCATGTTTTTGGACTGTGGGAGGAAGCCAGATCAACCTGATCACCCACGCATGCAAGAGGAGAACATGCAAACTCCACACAGAGGTTCCTGTCCGACGGGGATTCGAACCAGGAACCTCCGTGCAGCCCTGTTCTGAGGGGAATTTTAAACAAAAAGGCAAGCCATGTTGGGGGACATAAACCAATGTCATTTCTGGTAACAAATACACACATAAGTGATCTGTAAAGCATTAGCTAGTAATTAACCATGAAAAACATATTTGTTCAAACCATGTGTAAGAGTATATCTTTTTATATAGTGGTACTTTCTGATTTTTGTCTTCACATCTCAGCTAGAACATTCAGCAAGTAAGTTCAAATTTAGAAGCAAAAAAATAAAGGGTGTAAAAAGTTTATTGATCTCTACAACCTTCTTCAATCAAGCAGCTTAATTTAGTCAAAATGCATTGCAAGGATCTAGACACATGCCTTCAGGATAATAGCAGGAAGTGACAACTTACTGTTGATAGTGTAGTCTCTTAATATGTTAACATTGCAAAGTCAGTCTTAAAATAACTGTACAGGAATGAACACTATGGATGACAAAACAACTTTATCTAATGACATCTCTGAGATATGAGAATAACTACCAATCAGCAGGTAGATCAAAAAGGATGAAGTGTGAAAAGTGCTTTAAGTTGCTGTTCTGCTCCGTGCAGGACTCATCTACATGTCTATCATCATTATTACTATTATCACTTTTGTTGCAAAGCCATGCAATGTTCAAACCTCAGGACATTGTTTTAAATTCAAGTCAGGATCGGGTTTTTAAAGCAAGCAAACATGATGATGAGTTTAGGCAGAATAATCTTCCTTGAATGTAAAGATGCACCCTTGAAAACATTAAGTATTTCACTGAATATAATCATTGCTGTTTTAGTGGATATTTGCTTTACAGTGGACCAGGGAAAACGTTCACTTTAAGTGCACAGAGCAAAATCAAATGAAGTTTTGTCTTGAAGGTGAGTCCAGCTTAATGAGTACAGCAGAGATTCTGCAGACTTCAGTCCCTTTTGCTGTCCAGTTGAAACTTCATGATGCCGGGTAGAAAGCAGCAGCAGCAACAGCAGCTCTGGGAGTTTGCATCAGAGAAGACTTAAAAGGCAGAACAGCTAATCCTGGATCAGTCTGAAGCTGCTGTGTTACACACAGAATGTGTGAGAGTCCTGACCGAGTCTTCATTTCACATCTTAAATATTCTAAAACGTATTTAATGTTTTTTAAAAGATCAAATTCTGTGTTTTGTGTGCAATCGTTAAAAAACAAAAAAGGTTAAAAATTGTTTTCTCCTCATTGAGTCTTGACTTTCTTGCTGTGAGTCCCAGACTCTCGCCTCCTGGTCTTGGCGGCGTAGCACCTGTTAGAAACAAGAGATGAAATCAATTACTTCACATCATATTCCATACAAGAGTCATTCAGGTCAAAGGTGATCCCAAAATGTAGTTGGATGTTTTGAAACTACATAAGCAAAAGAAAGGTTAAAAGTCTGCCCTCCAGTATCTAACGTTATGTGTATGTCTTGCAGTGTTTCATGTCAGATCTTGTCTTTCAAGAGCCTTTGTCATTTTATAAAGTACAAATGTGAATGCTTAGTAGTATTGTGTCTTTGAGGAGGGCTCTACCTCCGCTGGTACAGGTAGAGGAAGAAGAGAAGCTCATCTCTGAAGCAGGAGAGTTGATGAGAGGAGGAGAAGAATGCAGAAGAGGAGAGAAAGGAGGCAAAGGAGCACAGATCTGAGATCAGCGTGTTCACTCCCTGGTGGAGAGGAGGAAGAGAAGATGACCTTAGCAAATAGCAAAAAATTTCCAGAGCATTTACCACACAAAAAAGTGATACATACAATTTTAAAGCACCAATATGTAAGATATCTACTGAATTAAATCTTAAAGAACCCTTCTATATCATCAGACATAAAGGAACATGCTATGTTGAAGTACTGGCTTCTCTGGCAACAATGCAGCAGCCAATATGTCCTCCTCTTAAGTTTCGATTCTATTTCAGAATGGGTTATTTTTGTTTTGACCAGAGAAAGTAGGCTGTTTTAAGGCACCCCTGCATGGCTGTTTTGGAATGCGCCTTGGTATGCCAGGCAAAAGGCAAACGAGTAAAGCGGGCAAGAGAACTGGTTCAGATGTATCTGATTCTAACCGACTTGAATGCGGCTGTAATTTTTTCGAGTAAGCTCCACGATTAGAAACGTGGTAAAACTAGGATAAATGTTGGAGATGCTTTCGAAAAAAGGAGAGAGGTTAGAACTCAGAGAGGTTTTAAGAATGATGCAAAGCTGGTTAAATACTGAAGCTTCTGTTACCATGACATGGAAGCCGTGGAGGGAATCGACTGTAGGGAGGAGGGAGCGGTGGGAAGGCGGCTCTCTCCAATGTTTTGAATTTGGACTGCAGTACCATTTTTAAACACTAGTTGTCAGATTTCCATATTGCTCCTTTAATTGTTTTTATTGATAAAATTCCAGCAGAAAAGACCTGCACACACTTGTTCTTACCAAAAGACCTTTGTATAAACTGTATCATAGTTAATATGTGCAGAGTCTTGTGTCCCCCTTGAGAGCTTTGACGCCCCTCCTAAGGGGGCCCAGACCCCAGTTTGGGAACCAATGTTTTAGAGAGCTAACTGATTTTTAAACCAATATCACTGCAAAACAGAAACATAAATTCAAACAGAAAGACTTTAAATACAATATTTATATGAGCCAGAAAAAGAATGACACTCACTCTGTACATCAACACTGTCCCCTGCAGATGGCTCACAGACTTCAGCTGATGTAGAGGGATGGGAGAAAAAACATGAAGTGGAAGACAAAAGAAAAAGGTGGCAGCAGACAGTTCATACAGCAATTTACAATCCAGTTTCACTCTATACTAAAAACTGATAACAATACACTTAAGGCTGGGTTATGTGGTCTAATTGATAAATGCAAGACATACCTTGTGGTTGATGAAGAGCTGTGGGGCCATAGACAGGAAGCCAAAGGCATACACTCCTGACAGGACCAGAGTTCATGTGTAAATAAAAATAAAGGCATGAGCTTCATTAAATGAGCAAAACTTACTCAATGACTTATACTGACATACTTCAAATGAACTAACAAATCAGACACTAGATGAACTTCTTATGATGTAAATGAAAGTATGTCAACTCACCAGTCACCAGACTGTTGATTAACCAGGAATAATAACTGTCAACACAACACAATTCAATGTCAGTCTAAAAAAACAGAAGTGAATATATAGCTTATGTCCTAGCTTTTTATTACTGTTACTTCTGTATTCCAACCAACACTTATATTTGATACAATTACATAGGAGCGGATACTAACATTAAAAACATCTTAATTTTATTTTAGAAACATTCAGGTCTGATTTGAATCTGAGTACTTAAAGGTCACATATTATGCAAAATACACTTCACCATGTTGTTCTAACACTAAAACGTGTCTCTGGTCTGTCTACAAACCCCCCAAATATGAGAAAAGTCCATCCTTTCCGTCTTTTGCCTGCTCGACTTTTCAGAAAATGTGTGCTCATAACGGGCCGTTTGGAGATTTTCCCTTTGTGACATCACAAAGGGCAGTAACCCCTCCCCCAGGTGGGTGACACTCCCACAACTAGGTGTTTGTTCTGTCCTCTGAGTCTGCCCTTTCCACTATGAACAATGATGCAAGTGCCCAAGCTAACCAAGCCCTTCTGGAGAGGGGCATGGTTGAACACAGCTCATTTGCATTTAAAGGCAATAGAGTGCGAAGAAACACTAACAATGAAACCCTGTGGCAAAACAGAAATATGAAATTCAACAGTCAGCTCACCTCTTTTGACGTAAATAGGCCAGAGAGAAAATAGCTCCACTTATACACAGAGGATAGACCAAGTAGGATAAGTATCTAGATGCCTAGAGAGAAAATGCACAGAAATAAAACAATTAAACAACTCCAGAGGTGGAATATAGAATCTGAAAAAAGGCAAAGATAATCAAACCTGTGTATCATACTCCACTGTCTTTCTCTCATCTTCATCCAGTTTACTTACCTGCACAGACAAACAGAAGTAAGCTTAGGTGATACAGAAGTTTACTGGTTGTCTGTATTATATCTGTCTTTATTCATATGAATGCTAAACGTTGCCAAACTTACAGTGACTTTGGAGCGTTTCCATTGAAACTGGAAGTTAAAAACTTTGAACAGCTTCCAGACCTGACAGAATGACACGTTAATCAGTTAAAAATGTCTGTTTGGGGCTTAATTTGTTTCTTTCTGTAAACAAAAAAGAGCAAATATACTAAATACTTCCACACACGCTCCCAGTCCAACAGGAAGCAGCACGAGTAGACTGGTCTCCTCCAACAGATGGAGGAAAATCAGCAGCGTGCTCAGACTACGCCACAGAACTACAAAGAGAGGGACAGAAAAACACTCGGGCCATTACTTGGACAATATCATCTGCCTCATTGTTGTAGACCATTAGCAGTTAAAACTGTGATATAATGTTGATCTTCAGCTCACTAAAAAGACTGCCTGATCAACAAAGCACAACTGCAACCATTTAGAAACAATCATTTTCAATACAAATGAATCTGTCCTGTATTTTTTTTATATTAATCAATTGTTTTATTGGCTGTGTGTTATCTCAAGACACTTTATAAAGAGCAGGTAAACAACCTTACTCATTGCTATATTAAGAAGACACAACGTTAATCCATCATGAGCACTAAGCAACATCTAGCAGAGCTACAGTGGCAAGGAAAAACCTTCCCTTTAAGAGGCAGAAACCTTGGGCAAAACCAGACTCATGATGAACAGCCATCCACTGAAACTGCGCCGATGGTTTTCTCACCTGACTTCCTGGACATCCCTGCCATGCTCTTCTTTTTCCTCCATGAGCTGATGTCATTTTTAAGAGCCAAAAATTCACAGATAAACTGTAAGAAAACAAAAAACAACAACAACACAATACTGTCAATTTATACAAGTCTTTCTTTGAGATCTTTCTGATTTGCCACATATAGGGACTGGGATTTAAACAGTAATGCATGATTCATGAAGTGGATTCTGACGTGTATGGTGTTGCATTTCTGTTGTATAAACTTACTTGTAGAGCTGTGATGAGTGCTGTCAGCACTAACAGATAGAGGTTTGAATCCACCAATGTTTCTTTAATCTCATCTATGTTCTCCTCTGTGAAGCCTAGATAAGCACAAAGAGACAAACGGAAAACTAAGTTTGTTCTTTTAGTTTCTATTCAGGCATAAAAAAAATCGATAGAAAAAATAAACATAATTATCTTTTGCCCTTAACTAGAAACCCTGGACTTATTTAATCCTCTTTAAAAAGAGAAACCTTCAAACTATTTTTTTAATCTTTTGAGCTCACCAAACTGTCTCAGGGAGTAAACCACGTCCTGTAGATGAACCCAGAACCTGAAGCCCCTCAAAGAGATTCCCTCGTAGGACACAGTCAGAGGGAGCTGAACCGTGCTGCTGCTGATCTCCTTTGAATGTGTTTATGGAAAAAAGTACATTCACAGCTATTTCACTCCAAAACATACATATTTATTATTTTAAGGTTTCAGATTGAGAGTCTGTATGTTTAAAAAAAAAAAAGTCCCACCATGAGGTCTCTGACTCTGAAGCTGAGCTCGTTAATCAGCAGCAGAGGAAGGTAGATCATCTGTCGGCCATCTTGTGAGCTACAAGACAGGGACAAACTTTTATTTAACAACACAAATCAGCTTGTGGCATATTCACTTTTTTTTATCAGAGGAGGAGAGACATAAATATATCTTCATGATCTAAATGTGCTAAAGCACTAAAAAACTAACCCATTTTAGAAGACTAACTCAAGGACTATGAGGATTGGCTGGAACATTAGAACTACTGATATTTAAATGACAGTATGGTGACAAGTATGACACTTGCTTATGATTATTTTCATGTTCTCGTCATAGATTTCCTTTTTTAAGAACATCAGCCACACATTTCTTGGTCCTTTTAAAACAAATTGTGTTCATAAATAGCACATAGAAATAAACATAAATGAGATTTTCTCCTGAACAGCCACCGAAGCACGAAAACATCCTGATGAGAAGCAGCGATGCAGCAGCAACCCTGACCTCCAAAGCTTCCTGTGACTTACACTCTCATGTAGCGCCGCACATCACTAGGAAGCCCCGCCTTGCTGAAGGTGAAGTCCTCTGACATCATCGTGATTGACAAGTGAGGTCTCCAGTGGGATACGGGATTCTCAGATCTGGGACTTGGCTTCTGATGGAGATACAGAAATAACTCATCTGCTGCAGGGCCTCATGTTTAAATCTGCAGTAAAGGTGACAGTGTGGCTGAAATATGATCAGACCATGACAGATACTGAATCACATTTTACCTTCTGTCCATCTCTCTGCCCTGCTGTGAGAGGGGGGGTGATGTAGGTGGTGAGCAGAGCGGCATAGTGGACTTCTCTGTTGTCCTCCAGAGGTGAAACACCGGCTTTGTGAATGTACACAACTGCATACAGAGTGCCATTAGCTCGGGTTTCCTGTGGCAGAGAGATATTTACCTGCCTGCATATATAGAGAGAGGAAGGAGAAAAGAGAGAGAGATAGAGAGAGAGAGAAAGAGAGAATGATATTTGGAAAATCAGGAAGTAAAAAATATCACATGTCTATGTCTACAATGAAATATATCTATAGTTGTAAAGATAATGTTCTATTCCTTTTAAATAAACCTTTAAAAACATCCTCTGAATATTAGCTGTAGGGACTTTTACTATTTACTTTTAATTGAATTTGCATGGTTAACAGATGTGTCTTTGTATCAAACCCACCTTTCAAAAGTAGAGTGCGGGTTGAATGAGTCTATTTTTACAGCGAGGTTGAGTTGGCTGTTGTCTGGCACAAGGCAGGTGAAGACACTCAGCTGGGGGAGAAAAAAAAACAAGAGGAGAAGAGAAGAGACTGTAAAGTCCATTTTTAGAGTCCAGTGCTAAAATAAGATGCTTCTGCTGACAACTTTAGAAAAAAAAGAAAACCTAACAGCGTTCCAAATGAGTGGATATTACCCAAAGCATTAGCAATTGAACTGAATTTAATAATATACAGTCATTTATTCGACGTGTTAGGAGATTACTGTGTCACAGTATAATCGCTTTCAAATCAAAATAATCCATCTTTGTGAAGATTTCCTTTATCATGCAAACACACAAAACACATAAACACACAAAACTGTTTTTTCCTGGAAAAAAGGCAAGGAGCAAATAAACTACTAACGTGTTTTTCCATGGCTTTATACTTATACTTCATACATGTTACAGTCAGTATAGTTATTTTAAACTAAACAAACAGGCCAAGTGTGTCTTAGCTGCAGGGTCATGGAGGTTATTTGCCCTTTATTTAGCTATTAGCAGTAAGGAGAAGAAACACAGGCCCGTGCTTACCTGTAGCCTTGGTCTTGCTGCCAGGTACGAGGCGATACAGGGCTCTCCGTTGCTTCTATCGCAGGGTTTTGTGTTAAGAAATCCGTAAAGCAACCACACGGTGTGGAGTATATAAACCACAAAGACCCCGAGCAGCAGCTTAGCGATGGAGCTCCTTTTAGTGCCGCTCTCCGCAGGCTTTGAGCAGCAAGATGGAAACATTGTGGATACAGACTATCTAAGATGATACATACGAAAAACACATCACAAAAAAAAAAGATCGGATTATAATCTGACAGCCTACAGACAACACAACAAAATCAAAAAGCCATAAAATCCTCACGCTTCCTCCCTACCACAGCATCCTTCCGGTCGCCCAGTCTGCAGCCAGAGGAGGAAGGATGCTGATGCTGACAGAAACTCCGCGGCTGCGCCTGCACCGTTTCTAAAATCCTGTGGCCAAGTCGTGATCCCTCCAATAAATGAGAATCATTAAATAGTTAGTTCCGACTGTTTTAAAAAGTCAGTTTATATATTTGGCACGTAAAAAAAAATTTCTGAGTGGAACAACTTCGGCCCAAGATAGGTCACTATGGCAACGATTGTGCAAAGCGTGCAGATGGAGGTTATGTCCTGGATTTTTTTTTCCCGAGAAATTAAAGATAAGGAAGAGACCGATATAAGCCTAAATTAATACATTTATTATGATCATTAACCTTTTCAGTATGTGTTCATAGATGTCGGATTAACATTTCTCTATATTTGGGGGTCGGACTACTCTAAATCTAGGCCACACCTGTAACAAAATACTATTCAATTTTGCAGTACGAGTAATGTACTTTACAAGAGACGATCTTTGGTAGCCGGTCGTTGTCACCGCGGTGCATTGTGGGCTGACACTGCGCTCATGCCTCTGTCCTCCAGTGTGCTTACTGTGTGCTAGTTCTTTCCAAAATGCTAACCTGAGTAGCTGTGTTCAGGGACTGAAACACGACTTAATGTGTTGATTTAGAGAAGACTGTAGCTAACGACAGGTAATTTACACGTGTCACTTGTTTTTCCCCTCGCTGACACGCTGATTCTGTAAATTGATAACAGCTAAAAAAAGCACAAGTTGTCCCTGATAGTAGCGGCTAACAGAAGTAGCATAACAAGTACCTGTTGAAAAAACAAAACTGTGACAACAAGCCGAGACAAGACAACCTACGACTGGCTTTATTGTAGCCAATGTTAATAAATATTTGCTCACACTTATTATAAACGCGTTTTTATTCTTGTTTTACCTGCATTTCTGGATTGTCTAACTTTTAAACAACTCGAGGGCACAGTGAGGAGATGCGGTAAGGGTTAAACACACAGTAAGTCATATGGAGGAAACAGTTCGTCGGCCTGGTCTCTGTCAGCTCACCGTGGTTCCTCTGCACGTCATATGAACATCAGCCCTTCAGTCCAGCATGTCAGTGTGTGTGAAGGCTGCATATTGTCCCGGTGTGGAGAGGAAGCTACTCAAGATGCTGCTTTCGAGCGGTATGAACTGCAGAAGGATGTATGGACCATTTGATAGGAACTTTTATCCAAAGCGCCTTTTCAACACTGCCAGTCCTTTTTTGTCAAGAATAACTGGAACAAATAAACTTTGTCGTGCTCGTTCAGAATTCTCCCACCTGAATTACAATGTGCCACCTGGAAGTAGGAAACTGGGGATTAACAGCCAGAGCTACAGTGGTTCAAATACACTGTACAGTCAAAAACTGCCTTTCTCAAGATGTAAACCCAAAAGAAGTCAGTATGCTGTGGACAGAAAGGAAAGCCTGCTGCAAGGAGGTACAACATGGCCTGGTAAGAATTAGAAAGAGTCTTAATAGGTTGATAAATGGTGATTTAAAACTGGTTGTTTAGATGTAATTATTGCAGTGTTCAGTTACAGTCTCTTATTTGTTAATAACTTGACAGAAATGTTGTCATGATTACAGTACTTAATGTTTTGTTGGATAACTTGACAGGCCTGTTTTATTGATATTATCTTATTAACAATAAATTGGTATTAGCTTGTCTGTCTATACTCTGTAAATAAGAAGCAAGGATTTGCTTTACAGAGAAGCATGTGCGTAAAGGTCATCTAAAACACTATTATTACTGGACTGTCAATGTTGCCTTAGTGAATGTCTTTGTCAAAGCTTTAATAACAAGCATGTCTGAGGTCACGTGTTTTTGGGACAGGGAATAACAGTTATATTGCTTCCAGATTTGTTTTAAATTCTCCAATATTTGTATGTGTCCAAAAAACATGGTTGACTATCTTTTAATCACTTACTGCTGTAGTCAAACTTAAAACAGAACCTTTTTGATTTGCTTAAAACTCTGTACCGGTAAGCTAACACGTGGTATTTTTGATCTTTTATTTGAACAGTGTCGTCTGTCCGTCACAGAGTGACAGACACCCCAGTGTCCAGTGTGTCTCCAGCGTTTGTAGTGGTAAGAGATGCAGCAATTCATTATTTAACGGGGACTAATACTGAGTCACATGGGGTTTAAAGTGAAATTATTTTGGTGAAACTGCTGCAGACTTCCCAACACAGCTGTTTTTATCAATCAATCCATCTTTATTTGCGTAGCGCCAATTTATACCAAATGTTATCTCAAGTCTTTATAAAAGTATCAGTTTAAGAGTCCGATTAACCCAGATTTTCCACGATCTGTTTTTTATGCTTTAAAATAGACTACAAGTTTTGATAGTTCAAATTACCATGACTGCGTGAATGTAAAGATTTTCTTGTTTATTAATTTTACAGATGAAGTTTGACCAAGAGGGAAATGTGACCTCCTTTGGTAAGTGTTAGAGATAAATCCTATTTATCTGTAGAGAATGTTGAGACTGCTGACTGATATCTCTTTTATCTTACATATGACTACTCCTTAGGTTACCACTTCCTGTATGAAATCAGAATCTAATTGATAAACTTAGACATACATTGTTGGAATCATAGCACGTGTGAATATTCCCTACTTACATACGTTTTTCCCGTTACAGAGAAAAAGAAAACCGAGCTTTGCCAGGAGCTAAGTCTTCAGGCCAGAGACCTTCGCTTTCAGCACAGCACCAGCCTCACTGCGAGAAACAACTGCATCATCATAAGAATGGAGGTATGCTCTCTTTCTTTTCTGCCCTCGACAGAACAACATCATCTTTAATCTCGCTGTTGATTAGGAAACATTTATGACAACAAATTAAAACTATGACTGTTTTTCCTCCTGACCAAATTACAAATTCTTTGGTGCTTTAATCCAGAGATATTTAGAACAAATGAGAACTCAAAGTATGTAACTGACGTTGTCCTCAAGATACATAAAAGTTACAGACATTCCTCTCCCTTTGTCCATCACCTCTAAAGGGCAAAAGGACATTCTTTAGCCCAAACCACAGCCCGTTCTTCTCTGAAGGGCTCCCTCTGTAAGGTGTAGTAGAAGGCACAAGAGTCCTCATGGCTTTGCCTTTTACAGAGAATTTCTCCTGGTTGAGGTGAACTCCGTTCGGTCTCCATCACTGTCACGGTGAGGTTGCCACAGTCTTGGTCACACCTAATAATGAGTGGAAAATCAAGAAATGATATATAACAGATATATAACAGATATAACACTACAGAGAAAAAAAGCAAATGATCTAAACTTTGTAGTTTAATTTGATGGAGATAACCATGGTAACAGGAATTAAAGCGTATATTTGCCATGTCAGACATAACTTATTATTATGTTATGACAGAAGAAGTAATTGACTGGTAACCCTTCTTCCTCAAATATAATGGTAACTGTAAATTCAAAAACATAATGACTTATTTTTTAAAGATTTATTTTTGGGCTTTTTTGTGCCTTTAATGGAGAGATAGGACAGTGGATAGAGTCGGAAATCAGGGAGAGAGAGCGGGGAACGACATGCGGGAAAGGAGCCACAGGTGGGATGTGAACCTGGGCCGCCCGCTTGAGACGACAGCCTCCATACATGAGGCACGCGCACCAACCACTGCGCCACCAGCGCCCCACAATGACTTATTTTTAGGAAACTCGTTTAGGAAACTCATGTTTGTGTCAAACTGAATATACTAATATGATCAAGATAACTTGGGGCCATGTACTTTTTAAAAGTGAAACCAAAACAGTAATTTTTGTAAGGCAAGGCAAGTTCATTTCTATAGCACATTTCAGCAACAAGGCAATTCAAAGTGCTTCACACAAGACATTAAGCATCATGACAGAGGAAAGAAAAGAAACATTTAAATAGAACATTACAAAATCACTGAAATTATTAAATCTGAAAATATGTTCAAATAAAAATAATGCAAATGAAATTAACTAAAATAAATAAAGTAAAAATATAAAAAAGAGTTAAATGTTACAGTGCAGGGTTAAAGTTTAAAATCTTAATAAAGTTGTTTAATGAAAGGCAGCTGTAAACAGATGTGTCTTCAACCTGGATTTAAAAGAGCTGAGAGTTTCAGCAGACCTGCAGTTTTCTGGGAGTTTGTTCCAGATATAGGGAGCAACTGAACGCTGCTTCTCCGTGTTTGGTTCTGACTCTGGGGACAGAGAGCAGACCTGTCCCAGACGACCTCAGCGGTCTGGATGGTTCGTAATTAATCAGGAGGTCACTCATGTATTTTGGCCCTAAACCATTCAGCGCTTTATAAACCAGCAGCAGGATTTTAAAATCTATTATCTGACAGACTGGGAGCCAGTGTAAAGACCTCAGAACTGGACTGATGTGGTCCATTTGCTTGGTTTTGGTGAGGACTCTAGCAGCAGCGTTCTGGATCAGCTGCAGTTGTCTGACTGATTTTCTAGGCAGACCTGTAAAGACACTGTTGCAGTAATCAAGACGACTGAAGATAAAAGCATGGACAAGTTTTTCCAGGTCCTGCTGGGACATAAGTCTGATTCTTGATATGTTCTTCAGCTGATAGTAGGCTGATTTTGTAATTGTCTTAATGTGGCTTTTAAAATTGAGGTCTGAGTCCATCACTATGCCCAGATTTCTTGCCTGGTCTGTGGTTTTCAGTCTTACTGACTGAAGCTGCGTGCTAACTCTTAGTCGCTCCTCCTTTGCTCCAAAAACAACAACCTCAGTTTTGTCTTTGAAGAAAATGTTTGCACATCCACTCATGGATTTGCTCCATGCATTTACCCAGTGCTTTTATGGGACCATAGTTGCCTGGCGACATTGTAATATATATTTATGTGTCGTCTGCATAGTTATGAAAACTTATTTTATTGTTTTTTATAATCTGAGCTAGTGGGAGCATGTAGACGTTAAACAGAAGAGGCCCCAGTTGTGGGAACTCCACAAGTAATTTTTGTTTGCTCAGATTTGAAGTTACCTATAGACATGAAGAAGTCCCTGTCCTTTAAGTAGGACTCAAACCAGGTTAGTGCTGTGCCAGAAACTCCCACTAAGTTTTCCAGTAATATATTGTGGTCAACTGTGTCAAACGCAGCACTGAGATCAAGTAAAACTAAGACTGAGGTTCTGCCACTGTCTGTGTTTAAACGGATGTCATCAAACACCTTAACCAGGGCTGTCTCAGTGCTGTGATTTTGTCTAAAACCTGACTGGAAGACATCGAAACAGTCGCTCAATGTCAAGAAGTTGTACAATCCCCAAGATTAAGAAGGTGGTATTCCAGCATTAATATGTGTATTGCGTAGGTTAAATTTCATTTTGAATGAGTTCGATTATTTATGAATTGATTCCTATTTTCATCAACACAACCAGCTCTCACCTGTCCTTCTTTGCTCCTGTCCTGAACGCGAGACACTCCACACAGTCTACGTGCTGCAAACATCTGCTTGGACACATTGAGCAGGTCTCGCAGGTCGGGCCTGCGTATTGTGGAGAACATCTACATACTCCGCACTCGCACAACCCTTTGTCGTTACACACTCTGTTGTCTGTAGTCATACAGCAAGAAGCGTTCATGGTGCAGCCGCAGTCCTCACCCGTCCAACCATCATCACAAATGCAGCTCCCGCAGATGCACCTCCCATGATTGCCACATAGTCTATCAGATTACAAATTATATGTCTTATAGTATTCCCACAGTAAAGTAGTGTTGACAAATGACACATTTAATGATCATACCTGCCGTTGTGCTTGGGACAGTCAAAGTTGCTGCACTCACAGAACTGTCCGCTGTATCTTTGAGCTGGGTTCACTGGCTTGTCGCACTCACAGAAGCTGTCCACACATTTTCCCCTACCGCTGCACACTGTGGCATTGGGGCCTGGATGGCGTGAGTCGTCGTCTGGTAAAGATGAATTCGTCTGGCACTGTAGTCCAGTGTAAGGCTCGTTGCACTCACACTGGCCACACACACAAACCAGCAGCAGGCTGAGACTGAGCAGCTTCACATCCATCCTGCGGGCACAGTAAAGCATTGCAGTGATGTTCTCAGAAGGTTTATTGAAGACATCAGTTATACGAGTTGATAAAGTAGAGAATGTAAGAGGATGTCCTTTTTGTAAGTTGTCTTTTTGAGGGGCAATAATTTTACACTAAAATTAGGAATAAAATGTCTTAAAATATTCTAATCATTTAATCTTACTGCTAGACGTTGAAGCTGCATGCCTGAAGTCACTCCTCTTTGAATCTCAACGTCGTATTAAAATAATTTTCATTTGAGCTCTTGCATCGCTATTGTAATGTCAAAATGTAGTCCTTAAGTATTACTATATATCTACATGCCTCTTTCTTGGTATTAGAGGAAGCAGTAGAAGCTTTATGTATTACTAAAATAAAAATAAAACAAATACATAATCTTAATCAGCTGTGTCATTAAGTGGCAGCTGTTACAGATGCAGCAAGTAGCCCAGTATACCTGTGACTGTCTCTTTGTCTATAACATGCTTCTGGTTTCTCAATTTTCCTGTTAAAAAACAACAACACAGATACAGAGCACTAGTGTTACATTACCTGGAATATATAAGTCCTTCTGTACTGTAGCTGTGTCTTGGGATTATCTTCCTCTGCAGACAGGGTCACTCTGACGCGCTTCAGCTATTTATCTGCTGTCTGCTAGTGAAACTTGTTCATTCAGCAGGATGCATAATCCGATCCCTGAGCCTGATTGGTGCTAATGTTTTTTTGGTTTCTGATGATCAATCAGCGAGCAGCGTTTCAGGACTTCACAACAAGAGCTCCACTGGTCAAAGGTCTCACTGCAAATATTTACAGACCAGAGTCAAACTTTGGGACTGCTGTTTTCCAGATGTAGTTCTCCACACTGGTTTCAATCCTAAAGTCTCATGACGAATAGCCCCACATTCAGATCATGATTTTAATCATGATCTGAATACATGTGAGTGTTTTCTAAAGCGGCTCATCGCTCCTCATCTTTCTGCTTCTCCACAGTTGTTAAAAGCCATCCTGACGCCGCAGTCCCTGCTGGTGTTGGACTTTCGTGGTCTTGGATTGGAGCGTTGGCTGGTCCTGGACTTAGCCCCTCAGCTAGCATCCCAGACACACACTCTGCCCTTTGAGTTCAGAGCACTGGAGGCCATACTGCAGCACAAGGTGACTGTCAGTAAGCATGTTTTAAACTAGACAGTAAACACACTCTTTGAGATACATTTTTTGTTTTTATGTTTTAGGGATGCGAGCCAGGTCTCCCTCCTGGCATTTAAGATAAGTCAGTAGTTTTGTTGTTTATTTTTTGTTGAAGTTTAGTTTGTTAGTTAGGGTATGTTTGAACTCAACGTCACATAAGGAGTGAACACATCAGAATGCAAACCCTTACATTGTATGAGAGACCGACATTAAAAATGCTCAGCACAAAATGCAGTGAAAGTTTGAACTGAAAGCAAAAGATTCTTATACAAATGAAACTCAGGAAATAAAGAAAACCCTAAAACACACTAAAAATATTCTCCAATACAACAAAACAACTCAAATTCCCACAATCCTTCAGTCAAGAGGGGAAAAAAACAGTCCTTGTTAAAATTCCTCTCCAGTTTTTTTTATTGAGTTCAAACACACAAAAATGTTCAAACTGTATTCTCAGTTCAGTTTATTAAATACGTTCAGTTCTCGAAAAGTAGCAAACAAAGATAACCAGAAGGCACAAAACAATAAAGTTTAGTTTTACTAACTGTCAGTCAAAACAGTTCGGGTCAGGTCTTGGCTGCTGGTTTTTGAGTTGTAACCAAAGGCTGTGACTGGTGGAGTGAATGAAGAACAAACCGGAGTTGATGATGATCAGAGGACAGAGATCATATGAAGGGATTAAAAGGCACAATGAGCGAGCTGCTCCGATCTTACACACAGTGACCTTCCTCTCCTGCTGCTCTATCCTCTGCTCGGACTTAGTGAGAGATTTAAATAGAATAGTGGCGTGAATGCTGAACGGATTGCTGAGTAGACGGACGGGAATGGTAGTGAATGTGGGAGTTTTGGAGGATGTAGACAACAGATTATTCAGGTTGTCACAACACGTGAGGAACAGATAGGGTGCAGCATGATTGTGCATTATATTTCTGTGTCTGTCTTTATGAACAGGTGAACACCCTACAAGCCCGGCTGAATGATGTGGAACCAGTAATGTTGGACACCCTGGAGTCACTGGTGGATCCTAAAATTCTCTCTGCTGATAGAAGTAAACTCCATATACTGCTGCAGACCAGCAAGAGGTAACACAAGCAATCATACACATGGCTGCAAACACTTTCATCGACGATGGTCGATAGCATCAAGATTGCTTCTCTGTATTATGAATGCAACACAGGGTTAGCATCTCTGCATTACTAGTACCTCACCTTTTATACTCAATGATGACATCACATATTTAGAGTTTTTTTGTGCTCTGTTTCCCTTTGTCTCTCTTTGACAGCTTATCCGAGTTGGAGACAGACATAAAGGTTTTTAAGGATTCCTTGCTGAAGATTCTCGATGAAGATGAGATCATTGAAGAATTCTGTCTCACCAAGTGGACAGACCCAAGAGTTTTGTATGTCACACATGTCCTCAATCATTTCACCTTTGAAATAAGAAAGTAAAATAGAACAGCTCCGTCATATAAATGATCATACTGATGTCTGAACCTTTTAGCTTACATGTGTCGTTTATTCAGGTATGTCTGTCTGTCCTCCTTTTTCTAGTGAGGAGAGCAGTTTGGGAATTGACCATGCAGAGGAAATGGAACTGTTACTGGAGAATTATTATATGCAGGTAATTCTAAACAACAATAAGATCACTATAATATTTCATCTTTTATTGATCTTTTGTTTTTAAGTGAGAATTTCTGCTCAACAATGAATTATTGCAACATTATAATAATATTTAGAATAACAGCATAACTGTGGATTACTTTGTACAGGCTGAGGAGCTGGGAAACAAGGCCAGAGAGCTGAAAGGGTTGATAGATGACTCTGAGAGTGTCATCTTTATCAATCTGGACAGGTACACACACTGGGCATACAGAAGGAGTATATATATTCTCTAACAGCGGAGTGCTGAACACACAGTGATTATTAGACCTCTAGGTGGAGCTGCCGTTTTAAAATTGAACATCCTTTTAAGTAGATAAACCCCTTTGAGTTCTATAATATTTTGGTTCAATTTCTACCACTTTATCAATATTGTTTGACATGGATTTGACTTACAGCGTAAAAAAATAAAATAAAAGTGGTTTAAAACGTATTTGAATGCACATATAGGAACAGGACAATTGTTTTGACACAGACCTGATAGATTCTGATACTTTCCTTTAAACCGTCCAATAAGCAGTAGAACTTTAAGTCCTTGTCTGTTTCTTTCCAGCCATCGTAATGTGATGATGCGCCTGAACCTGCAGCTGACCATGGGTTCCTTCTCTCTTACATTATTTGGTCTTATAGGAGTAGCCTTTGGTATGAATTTGACGTCGTGCTTTGAGGAGGTGAGACTGCTCCTTAAAAATGATTTCACATCTGGTATTTGTTGTTAACAACTGCTCATATATAGGGATTGCGTTTTTGAATTAGATAGGGGCGGCTGTGGCTCAGTTGGTAGAGTGGTCGCCTCTCAACCAGAAGGTCAAGGGTTTGATCCCCAGCTGAGTCCGATGTGTCCTTGGGCAAGATACTTAACCCCGCATTGCTCCTGCTGCTTCGGTGTATGAATGGATTAGTTTTGTACTTACACTCTGATGTATGTCGCTTTGGATGCGTCTGCTAAGTGAATTGTAACATTGTAATTTCCGATTGTTGTAAGCCTTTATGATTTTTTATTGTAAGACTGATGATGATGATGATGAACTTTTGATTCAAATTTGATTTCGAATTTTTGACATTTTACAGAAAAAATAAAGATAAAATGACTTGTATTTAAAAAGCTTAAATCACTGAATAGTTTCTATGTATCCTCTATGTACATCACATTTTTTCACAACAACATATATGTATTTATGTGTTGTCATGTTGGTTTTATCACCAGGACCCTCGTGTTTTCTGGCTGGTAACTGGCTTCATGTTCTTGGGCAGCGGGCTGATATGGAGACGACTACTGTCATTCCTGGGACGACACTTAGAGCCTTCAGTACCTCCACTTGTAATAAACACACACACTCACACACACACAGTAGTAGTAGAGCCCTTTACAGATTGATATGTACATCATAAGCACCTCTTTTGGTCAATGCATGTTTTCCCTCTGCACGTTCATATACTAAGGTTTTTTCTCATCCTGTATTTTTTTCACATAATTTAACCTAACATTGATATATTAAACAGTGGCTAAAGATGACATCTTATGTTGTTTCTGGTGTGTGTGTGATACAGATCCCTCCAGTATGGAAGCGAAATCTGAAGGCATCAGACAACAGGACAGGAGTCAAATGTTGAGGATGATGATGATGATGACGATCTACCTCCCCTCTGTAAAATGCAACAAAACTCCTGCAGACTCTTCAAGACGATTATCTCACCACCACGGAGCTCCTGACTTCTCTTCAAGGACTGAAAATCTGAATTTTTCCAAACACACTTCTTGTGTTTTCTCCAATGCCTACAGCAGAGTTTAAGACTACATTTAAAAGTCTGGAGACTCAAATGTGATACAGGTACACTGTACCACTATCAGTATATTTCTCGCACTGATTTTAGGTTGTTAGATGCTTGATGAGATGTCTTGTCATATGACATGTGGGCACAGTACGCTCCGTCATCTCAGTTTGAGTGGGTGGAGTTGTGGGCGAGTTGCAGCATTGGTAACTTGACATATATAACTACTTTACATGTAGTAGTATGTTGACTCATTTCATAGGGAAAAGAAAAGTGTTGAAGCAATTAAAGGTTATTAATTTAATTAAAATTAAATAAATGTTAACCAAATAAATGTATGAAGTCTATCGTTAGGGATAATTAAATGTTATTTACTGTATGTTCAATGTGTTCTCAAAAAACTGCTCTTTTTTTAAACTGAGTGGACAAAGAGGATTTTTTTCTGTTTCTGAAATATTTATTGTGATGGCAAACAAGACTGTGACAGATAATAATCCGGAATCTAATATGTTTGTCACATAGGATAGATGGTACACATTTTAGGCGGTTGGATTGCAAAAAAAAGCCATGTTTGATTTGTTTAATATAATCCCTCCGCTGCCATATTATTCACATCGACAACAAGAAATCAAAATCATGTGCATTTAGAATGGTGAGACAAAGCCCGTAGAAATGACTATACCTCAACGATCTATAAAAAAAGAGCTCAAACTGAATGTGTTTTAGGAACCAGGTCATTAAGAATATAGGTATTTATTGTATGTATGTTTTGTAGATTACAGAAATTGTATTAAAGAACCTAATTTTAAGATGATTGACATTCAGCAATAAAATTGTTCCACCATTTGATAAAATAGCTTTTAACTAACTGATTTGGCATCGTAACTTATGTGTTTATTTTCTTCATTCATGTGATATAGTTAGTGGAAAGTGCCATAAAAACAGGCATTATTTTCATAGTTATGAAATGAAGTACAAAATGAAAGTGAACTTTCTATGTTTGTAAATGGAAACAAAAAGGTTTAAAGATATTCTATTTTAGTCTAGTCTTCTGTTGGTTCTGAGTGAGAGGGTATGGACGTGATTATGGTGGTCGTATGCTGTTGTAACCACTTTCTTTGCTGGAGGGAGCAATATCTACAGCTTTAAATTCAGTTTTTCTATTGATACACTATACCTTAATACACGAAGAACAGTAGTCACTCCTTTAACTCATGCATTAAAATAGTTCAGTTAAAACGGTATGTGATGGAGAAAGTAACACACAACATTTTATCAAGCTGTTTAGGTAGGATTGTGAACTGTCCGAATAAGTTATTATTCTTAAGTGCAATAAATTATTTACAATTTTTTTTTTCTACATTTCTAAAGAAGAGTCGGTCAATTTCTCTACCCGCACTAACGACAGGTCACACACTCTTATGGTCACACCGCATGTCAGTGTTGTCCATTAAAAAATTGCCCACAGCTCATCTGTTCTTCAATGAACGTCACGCCGTGCTGACGTCATTGCGGAGCCACGCTGCACTGCCAATCCAAACAACTTTTTCCGGGGGAGGAACTCCACATCCCAACCATATACTGATCACAACGCGTTCAGCAGCCGTCCCACCAAGACACTGAGATTTGTCGAAGCAGCCGAAAACACGGTCAAAACGTGACCAGGAGTCAGCGGAGCGACACAACTTTACTCTAGACTGAACACAACAAGGTTTTGTCTTCACTTTTTACAGCTTTTCCCTTCAACTGTGTTCATTTGGAAGCTGAGATGAGGAATCTGTGGTTGTTGTTCTTCGTCGGACTGTCGACTGGGATCATCAGTGAAAAAGTAAGTAGTCTCGACTTATAATTCACGTTTTACTTCAAATATCGAACAAATAGCTTTTTTAAACCTGTATTTTATTCAATTTGTTCCAGTTAACTTGTTGTAATTATTTAATCGTGTAAAATGGCTCAAACTAGCTGTTGAAATATGTTTGGAAAATGCAGCCCTTAATTACTTTCAATTAGTTTCTACTTCTCTCTGTCGTCGTTACCAACGCGTGTTTCAAATGTCTCACATGTTCTAGCATGTTCACAATGTTTTATATTTTAATATATTCCCCAAGTGGTCCACCTGTTGGCTATGTTCAAGGTCTGTGTCAAAAGAAAGAGTTAGTGAATGTTATCCCATGCAACAATACCATTTAACATTACAGAAAATGTAGCTCATGTCATGTTGTGGACTAATTCAGGGATTACTGTTATTCACCCGTAGGCTGTATTCAAGCCAAGTCCAGTCGTCTAGTTGGTATCAAGTTCACACAGGGCCAAAGTCTGTTGAGCCTCCAAAGCTCACAGCATTGACGTTTAAACCAAACGTCCGGGTCTGGCCTGAATATCTCACCCACACGGCATAGGTCAACTTTACAATGTCATATTTGCTAAATGAAATCATGTCTTCAGTAACTAATACTCCTGAACTGGGGTAAAAATCCTGAGAATAAGAAACAATTTCTACCTGACCTGACGGGCTACTAACATTTCTCCGTGCATTTTCCTCCTCTCCATATGTGTGCCTGTTTTGAAAGGCTGGAAAACACCTGGAGTTGACAGGCTAAAGCAGAGCTCTGTGCATTTGTCACATGTGCCAAAATATACTGCCTGCATGTTTTATTGACTGTAAAAGTCCCTGATGAGAGCCAGAGATCTTCATCACCTCACAAGAAGAAGTATTTTTGATTTATGGACTTTCCTTTGTCAAAGAGAGAGATGAAACCTGAGATTGTTCTGCTGGATCAGAACTTGCTAATAGGTTAACGACTGGCCTAACACTGAAAGAGAGTGACAGAATACACTTAAGTGTATTTCTTTCTCACCAACGCCCAAATGAGTTTAAAGCTTAGAACTATAAATTGATTGCTTTCCAAAAAAATGTACTTTTTAATCTAAAAAGACATGTTATACTCTGCTCTACACATGCTTTGATTCTCCTTGACCTCATACCACTAATACATAGACTACTGTACTTAATTGCTGGCCATTGATGTTACCATGTATATTCAAATTGTCTTTTCTCTCGGTATGGGCTGTAGAATTACTGGTTAGTCAATCAATGATGTAGCTTGAATCCGAGTGATGAATTTTGAAACAGGCTTCTCGCCCCCGTGACAGATTGGGAGCCGGTAGTTGTGTCATTTTCTGGATGGATGACTCACAGTGAGTCCCACTGGGCTAGTTCAGACAAGCATGGAACTGTGTGGGATACATGCAGTTTTACATCTAACCAAAGCAGGCAGATGAAGAGTGTCACGCCTGATCACATCATTATTAATTATGATGTCTCATAGTGTCGCTGAAATGTATCATTTAGAATACACATGTTAAATGAGGACAAATCAAAATAAAAACTGATTTCATGAGAACACAAAGTATATGTAAATTACCAGCTGTGGTGAAAATAGAGGTATTAGTCACATCATATTAGTCACATCACTGTTCTGTATAAAAAAGGTAAGTCTGTGTACACATGTCTGTATGACACCATCTGATTGGCTGACAGATCCTTCCTGTCTTTAACTCCCAGCCTGTTCTTGAGGGATATTCATCAAGCAGCTATCGAACATGTACACATGTTCTTTCTGGGAGGAAATACCAAAGGAGGTTTTCACTAAATATTGTTGGTGGACTCCTGTGCTTCTTTTTGTTCCACCACAGAACTTAGTACCATTTAATGCCTCCTCCTAACTGATGATAATCATATCTTTTGCCAAGAGTGTTGACAAAGAGGTGGGATTCACATCTCAATAAGAGCACCATTCTATTCTCTCTGTGTTGGATTCAAATCGATGCCATGTCGCTCTGGTCCCACAGTTAGATCAATGCTTCCAAATAACCAGATTTGAATAGTCAAATAACTGGTCTTAGTGAAACTGTTGAAGGCTGAAACTGCTGTGACACTTAAAAAAAAAAAAAAAAAAAAAAAAAAAAGTCACTCATCATAGCCTTGGTGAAACATTAAGCCCCTCAAACACAGCACCCTGCTGCTGCTATCTACACTGTGATGACAAGTCTGCTGTGTACTTACGGATGTTACACAACCCCACTCTTGGCTCATATCCTCTTTGTTATCAGTGGCTTTCATCTCAATGGGGAATAATTTACTTTAACTTTTCATCCATCTGAGGTGGGAAGTATGGATTTGTGCTTAAAAAATATTTTTTAATGCACTCCCAAACACACTCATGAACCTTCACGAATGCTTCTCTGCAGTGTTTTAGCACTACGACCTGGCTATTTCCATAAGACTGTCCTCACTTGAACAAACATTGGTATACCAGATATATGGCCTGTCTGTGTATGTGTGTGAGCTATGTACATGTTTTCCAGATGTGTGTAACCTTTGAGTTACTTCGTCATGTCTTTCAGTAAACCAAAGCTTCTTCCTGGCAAGCGTAGTGCACAGAGACGTGGGTAGCAGATGACATCTTTTTTTAACTTCTTGATCATTTTGTATGATACACTATTGTCTGTGTGTGTTTGATAACACTTAACAAGTTGTCAATCAACAGAAATCTTTTCACAGTTAATATTTATCTTAAGTTAATCGCTTAAACCATAGGGCAATCAAAAGTGCCACATTTATTTATTGCCGCAGTGAAACAGTCTTCCAGGGACCAATTTTTTCCTTTGAATAAAGTTTGTGTATTTAGTTCAGAAAATATAGCAAATAATTTTATCACTTCTCCAACTTTCAAATTTCACTACCAATGTATTGCACCTTTAAAGTATTGTGATGTGATTTTCAGAAATGTAGTGGGGAAAAAACTGATGACATTAAAACATAACCTTTTGCTGAACATTGTGAAGGTATATTTGATCATCTTATCCTTGATATAAATCTCTTGTGAGTTCGGACTTGTTTCTCCTAGAGCACACTCTAGCTTAAATCATTTTACTTAACTTACACATATAAAACCATCGGCAACCTCCAGCGTTGAAAAATGAAGCAAATGAGGCAGGCTGTAGAAGCCCCAATGGGTGTGTGTGATTCAAAAAATGCCCATTTTTAAAGCAAAAGTAATAATGAATACATCCTGGTTCAAAAACTAATTTGCTCTGAATAGCGCATGTCTTTGTCGGCACACACTGTACAGGGTGTGAATTTTTTTATTTTTTTACAACTCATCCGTTTTGATTTTATGGAGGTGTGGAAGACCTGACCTGAAGCGGGCACAGTGTAGCTGCCTGTCATGTTTTCGTAATGGGGGAGGATTCATTAACTGTTTGTCAGTGAAAGCCTTGTACCTGGTAGGCAGATTTCATGAAAAACCCAGTAAACTGTCCATTAGAAAGGAGAACTTGTGGTTTTTTACTGTTTTAATTTCTTCCACTTTAAAAACCTGGTAGTAGTTTAGGTTAAACTTTGTGTTCATCACTCTAGTTGTCACTGGATGTAACTCCAGTTCCATGTTAAGTGTGTATCTATTGAAGGGGAGGAGGAGGGCTGTAGGAGGGCTGTAGGAGGGCACTGGCAGATGAAAGCCTGGTGTGGCAACTTAAACCTATAGACATATGATATATGTGTGACTTGTATCTCAGTCAATTTTCATCCATTTAAGATGTAAAGCCATCATTTGTTCCATTGAATTTTGAATCTATCAGTTCAGCAACCCCATGAGGGCATGGTAGGACTATGGACCTGTACCTTCGGTGTTTTCAGATCAAACAGTTATGGGGATTTTTTGCAGAGAAACTATATCCATTTAAAAATTGTGCACTGCCATGTTGATGGCTGATACAAAGCTTATATGTTGTAAGCGTTGTATTTCCTCCATCACATTAACACTCAGTAATGCCTGGACCTTGTTGTTTCATTTGTCCGTGTTTTGGAACTATTACTCACTGTTATTTGCTAACGTTTACATTGGGCTTTAGAAATTGCGGTTTTGTGGTACTGGATTGGCTCTTCTGTTTAACCAATCAATGTTCACTGACTAATGGACCAATCACTGTGGACTTACATCACTCATAGATCCCTTTTGTGCTGAGAAAGTACATACTCTGAAGCAGGAGCTAAAGAGGTTCCTCGTTTTAGGAACTACAATAGTTCGTAGTTCCTGCAGTGCGGAATCAATTCATAGCTTTCATGTGACGTCACACTCTTATGGAACCGCCCACTTGGAGGGGCAAGAAAGGCTCTCTAGCACTGTATGCTGCTGAGAAGTTCCTGGTTTCAGTTGCCCCCATCGTGTTTTTATCTGTTTTATTTTTCAAATGAAATACAGTTGCTGTTTAATGTGATACACTAACTGACGAGGAGACGAGCCCGAGTTTTGCTTCTACAGAATTTAATCCGAGAAAAAAAACAGAAAGGAGGACGTTTGTGGATTAATGCAGTTAAACCATCATCGGCCCACGTGACGGGAAACATCGGACTTCTCCTCATCCTGACATTAAATATAGTGTTGACTAAATCTAAATATTCCTGCTGTTAACTCAAATTACTGCCCCAGAACACTAAAATTGACAGCTGATACTATCGCTAGCTAACGCTAACTAGCTAATGTTAGCTAATTAGCACTCACCGATGCTTGAATGATGAGGAATTTCTTGCCCTTCACTTCTCAAACAGCAGCATTATTGACCCAGACCGATCAATAATACATAACGCTGCCTGTATGTTTGTAGACTTTTAATCCTACAGTGGTGTAAGGAGAGGGATTCTCCTCTAAATATCAGCAATATCACTGAAGTAACTGATGATTTTCAGACAAACACGAATGAAAGTATCGTAACAAATGCCTCTGACTCACTCAGCTGACAGTCACCAGTTAACATGGTAATTCTTGTAACCGTAACACCGGCACGGACTTCGCCATTGCTAGCGATATAAATAGTGTGCTGTTAAAGTATCGCAAGTGGCCCAAACTCAAAGTTTATCTTAGTTTTGCTATGGTTGTCAGGTGATGTAAACGTGTTGTTTATAGTAGATGTTAAATTAAAAGCCTGTGCTGCAGTTCTACAGGGTTTTCATCTGTTACTTTGCTGAGTGTTTTTTTGCCCTCCAGCCCTGTGCGCTGGTGACGTCACTGAAAGCTATGAATAGAAAAAGGGAGAGGGTTCCAACAGTTTCCTAGAACTATGAAAAAGTTATGTACATGAGCTGCTCTAACTCCAAGCTAACAAAGTGACCTGTCAAAAATGGCGATGTGAAACCAGGAGCTACAGCAGCAAAGTTGAGACAGCTCTAAACCTTAAATTCATTGTTTGTCCACTTGAATTACAAATTAAGTCATTAGAAATGCAGACGAGGACCATCCCATTTGTATGCAGTCCCCTTTCTGTGTCTTTGAGTGTTCGTTTTGAAAAGCAGCATCTGCTTTTGTAATCCTTTGAGCCCTTTCTGCTATTTTAGTCAGCGCTAGCATTCGGAGACCCTTTTGACTTTTGAAAACATGGATGTTAATGATTTTCTGTTTGGCATGCCTCACCACGTTATGTGAAAACAACATCTGGTTTATCTCACAACGGTTTTCTCTTGTTACGTCTCAGCCGGAATAAAAATATAAGTGAAGAGAAAGTTGCAAAGAAAATTGACTGCTGGTCTATGCAGAAATAACAACTGATATCACTTGAAGTGTTTTGGTCTGCAGTTATAATATGAAAAACAAAAAGATTTATATCACTTCTGATGACCGGTGTTAAAGTATGCAGAGCAACCTCCTCCTGCACAACCTCCCATGTCACCACCACATGTTTTATGAGAAACATATAGTATTGTCCATGTCTCTCTCCTTCCATTCTCCCGACTCCCTCCTTTCTCCCTCTCTCAGCACCTGTGTTAGTGGAAGCATAGTATGCATACCAGACATACTTCAGGTGTGTGTGTGTGTGTGTGTGTGTGTGTGTGTGTGTGTGTGTGTGTGTGTGTGTGTGTGTGTGTGTGTGTGTGTGTGTGTGTGTGTGTGTGACTGACTAACATCTGTTGAGCCGTCCCTCTCTTTTTGAGTTTTACACTCATAAGGTTGCTTTCTGCGACATGTATGTTTATCCAGGTCTGCGTTGTTATATTACAGTCTGCTCTGCTTGTTTTATTCTGCTTAGACACAGAGGCAGTCGCATCTCAATAAGCTGGTGAATAACGTCATCTATTTAAGTACCTCGTCTCTTTGGCTTAAGCATAGTTTCCAAGCTTTAGATGATGAGATTAGCAGGGTTTTGGTTTACTTCAAAGCCCTCTTCCTAGTGTTTGGGTTAGTGGAAGGTTTTCCTCAGCTTCAGTCTTCCATATGAAACAGTCCCCCCCCCCGTGTGTCGTCTTGTCTTTGAAGCTGTTTTATCCCTCCCCCCTCTTTATAACCACACTTAGGTCACTGCTGTCTCTCTCTGTGAAGTGTCACAAATTACTGCCACAACACGTGAAATGAACAAGAAACCAGCCCCCCATCTACTGTACATGTAATCAACACCACAGTTACACTCACAGACATCAGCAAACACATATAACATGCTTTGCCAGCATACTGTAGGTCATTGGTTGTGTGAGCTGTAGACTTACTCCCAAACTTCAGAAACATTCACATGTTTTGAGTTAGAGGAAGGAATTCTTCAACTGTGAAGAAGGAGACGTAATCGTCTCTGTTTCTCCTTCCTTCTCATGATCTGTCTTTAGCAAACATTCACTCAGCTTTACGGTATTAACAATATGTTTTTAATGTCTCTCTTCCAGCTCTTTGTCTCCTCCCAGTCGCCCATTTCCACAGCAGATGATTTGTACATAGAGGGACAAATGTCAGGTGAAGTGCCCGTAGATGATGAAGATGGGGAAGATGTTGGCTCAGGCTCCGGATCCGGAGACGATGGTAAGGAGGCCCCTAACTTTGTTTTTGAATGTTTGGTGGTTACATTTTATTAGCTTGGCAGTTTTAAAATGCAATACCAGTTCACTAACACTTTGACATTTTGTCAGTTAGTGATGATGTCTTTGTACTTGCTGCATCTGCAAGAATAAGTTAGGACCCCTCATTTTTTTCATGTCTTAATATTTCATTTCACACACTCGCGGTAGGTGTTTATCCTGAAGTGATATAGAATCAACCCAGTCACAGTTTATTAGAAGTGCACAGATGTCCGATGCCTTTTCTGTCAATGACTCATCTGTACAACCACAGTGAATGATGTGTGGAAACATCTGTGTTTACGCTTTAAACCAAAATGTGGTTAGGTGTACTGTATTCCCATCAGTGATAAAACATAGTTTGTGTTCCTCCTGTATGTGGACACTGTTCATCAACATCCTGAAAGCATATTTTATTTTTGCATCACTGTCGTAGCAAGTATCCCCAAAACATCAGCATCAACTTTTTATGAGATAACCTGTCAGTCTGTCAGTTCATTTGAATAAAATAGATAACACAAATGAAGAATGATATATTTTTCAATTGTCAGCCAAGACTTTGAGCCATTTATAATCTCAAATATAGATTAGTTCTAGGTTTGCAATGAGATGTTTTTCAAATCAGTGTTTATTATTTTCCTCTACCTCAGTTTTTGGTGACCTCATGGAACAAGAGAAGCTACTCAAGAAGTTCCTCAACCTCTCCAGGACCACAGTCTCAAAAGAAATGGTTCCAGTTCAACCACAGCCAACAGCAGGCTCTCCTCTCAACCCACTAACCACAGCAGCAGTCAGCCAGGATCGCCCTACCACAGTGGAGGTGACCAAAACAACACCAGACAAGATCCTTGGTGGGGACAGCGATGAGAAGGTACAGTATTGCTTTCTCTTCCACACATTGTTATCTTTAAAGTTATATATGTTGACTTTTATCCCTAAATGTGATATGATTTAAAAGAATTAAGAGAATAAAAAAATGTAACTACTCTTTATGGTCCTACAGGTGGCTCGTGTTGGCCCAACAGCTGATTGGTTCACACAGAACACCAGTCCCAGCTCCACCAGCAGGCCTCCCAGTGACACTACATCAGCCAAATTCAGCATCGACATCAGTGTGAGCAATGGTACTGCTGAGGACAACAGTCTGGATAGTTTGGACATCTCAACAACCAAAGGCCGCAGTAATGAGGTCCAGATCAGAGAGAATGACAATGAAATTGTGGTGAAAGAGGGCAGAGGCAGCAGGATATATGAGATGGACTCTCCAGAGGAGGTGACCTCTGAGAACTTGTGGGAGAGGACTGAAGTTCTGGCAGGTAAGGACAATTTTCTTAGTTTTGATTGTCCACATAGGTTGAATTTAATAGTCACTGAAATGTTGAAAATGAATCGTAACTGAGTCCAAATGGGTTTTCTATGATGAGCCAGACAGTAGAATGTATAAATTAATGCTATTGGTCTTGGAATGGTCTGATTATTGTTCTTGACTTTTCTTAACATACAGTTTAGAGCTATAAATAGTCAAACATGTAAGGTTCAATGCACACTCATAAAAATCTGTTTGACTTTATATTTAATCCTTCTTCAGCTGTGATTGCATGTGGAGTGGTTGGATTCCTCTGCGCTGTTTTCCTCCTCCTCCTCCTTGGCTACCGCATGAAGAAGAAGGACGAAGGTAGCTATGAACTGGGAGACACCAAACTTTCCTCAACGACCTATCACAAAGCACCTACAAAGGAGTTCTATGCCTGAAAAAACCAATAAGGGACCACATGGAATCTGTCTCCTCCCAATCTGGACTAAGATTGGATCTAAAAACAAGTGAAGACGATTCCTCTTCATGAAGTTTGAAGTCAAGCACGACTGTTCTTCTGCGATACCCCTTCCTTTTTTATTTTTTTTCCAACCTTTCTCCTGCTCCTCCCTTTCTTTTATTCAATGACCACTGTTTGTGAAGCAGAGGTCATAAGTGGTAAATAAGTCTATTGAAAACATTCTCGCCTTTCCGCTGTGAGGAAGGAGTTCAACTTTAAATAAATATTTACATTCAATGAAATAAATCTTTTCGCAATTGATAACAAATGTTCTAGTCTTTAAAACAATTCATCTTAGAATATTGCTAACATTGTGCCTTTCCTTTACTTCTCAAAGCTGAACCACACTGTGCTGGACTTTGTTCTGTTTAGCAGACAAATTGATTGTCCCATTTAGCAGAGCTGTAGCCTGAACATTTGCAGTTCAGCTCAACAGTGTAGTTGAAGTTCACACAAATATATTAATAGCCTTAATGCATTTGAATAGAAATGGTACCAAATATGGGATTAGTGTTACAAAGAGCCTTCAAATCTTTTTTTTTCAAATGGTTGGAGGTCAAATTGTCTCTCTTTAATAACTTGTTACATTTCATTTTATGAATGCTTTTTTTTCTAAATTGAAGTTTATTTTATTTTTTGTTTTACCATCAACGAATATGTGTTTTTTTTCATATGTTGACCAGTATTGATATGAGAGACCTTATTACTCTGCAGGTACATCTTTTCATTGTTTTCTCAAAGATATTTGACCAAATATAAATGTGCTTTATTTGTCTTTTTGAAAGTTATTTTTAGTAGCTTTTTCAATATGTTGTGACTTTAAAGAGATTATGTTTCCGTAAGCCATTAAAAAGAGATTCTAGGCTTTTAGTTTTATTCATACAGCGTTAGATAAAAGTCCCTAGCTTGTGTCTGTCTAGCATGCATCATATTTTATGGGACAGGGATGCTAAGGTAGAGCCAAAGCTAATAACTATAATTCAGAAAACCATAGAAGAAACCAACATTTTCTGATGACTGCCAAAGCACATTCCTGTCTCACTGTCAACTGTATATAGCTTGAGCGGCTGGTTTGCATTTAAAGGGACAGTGGCAGTATGTAGTGTTTCTTCCAGTATGTAGAATCAGGGCTTGTTTACACAGCAGGGCTGGAGAGTTACAAATGCAGTCAATTATATATAACTGTCTTAACTCTCAAGTTTAATAAGCAATGTTACCGTCTGGATAATCCCAATCAGTAATTTATTTACTACTCACTCTTTTTTTTTTTTTAATTTGTTGCAATGCTACTCTGAGTGCAAGCATGTCAGGTTCTAAATGTGTTTTCTCAGTATTTACTTTAACTGGCCAATCATGGGAGAAGGGCCTTTTGTAGAGTTTGAGTGAGGACAAAGAAGGCAGTTAACAGGAAAAGAAGATGTAGATGAATCCTTTAAGTCTGAACTACCTACTGCACATTATGTGTCAGAACAAAGAACAAATCGTTAAACATCGGCCACAAATTGGATTGGGAGAATGTTGCCTTGAGGCTGCGCTTTTAGTGGCCTTTCAATTTCATGAAGCGGTCACTTTTGTTTGATTTTTTTTTTTCACAAATCAGCTTTGTGGTCAAGATGGCAGGTATCAGTGTCATGAATAGAGGTGGAGGGGCTGAGTGGTTGAACTGTGAGTAAATCTGACCACATTCTCATTACAACATCATTTGTCTAAGATGTGTTTTTCCCTGTTGCTCAGACTATGCTGATAAATGCATTTTGTAACAGAATTATTATTTTAGATCATCATTGTCCCAATCTGTTGCAAAATGTGCAGCATTTTTTTTTTCTGTCTATAACAGTTTAATCCTCTTCATGAGGAAAGTTGGTGTGTGATGCTACATTTATATATTCTCTCTGATTTGAGGCTCCTCAATAGACTTCGCAAGGAGTTTTTGCGATGATCGAAAATCCTTTCTATAATAAAATTTTAAGTGTATGCAAACTACCTATTCTCTATAACTGAAATAAACAGGAAGATCGTAGCACTAATCCACTGTGACTTACTGTTGATAACGTGACATTTTGGGGGCTCTTGAATGCCTCCAAAAAACTATGTATTCATCAATTTACAGTGCTCTTGCAGCATTGGTGTCATGCTTAAATAGTTCAGGGCATGACTCCATTGTAAAACTCTAACATTTTTTTTTACCACACCAACAGAAATATCATGAGATATATGACAAATGATTTCAAAAGAGGGTTAAGACAACTGGTTAGCAATTGCTGCCAATCCAGGGGATGACACAACATGAGATAACCTTTTCTCTTCTAGTTTACACTATATGCTGATGATACTATAATTTATATGCATTAATTTATACTCGCTCAGAAGAAAATCCAGGTTATCAAATCGGTTATACATAGAGATTGTACAGTATTGACACATGGTTGAAGCATATTTGTTACAGCTTGTTATGTTTTTAGTATTTATGGTTTCAGATTATTTGACGGGCATGGTTCAATTCATTTTTAATTTTATTGTCAGTTGTCTTCATTCTTTTTTTTTTTACTTTTCATATAAATACATTTAAATAGTAAGAATGTTTCTTGTTAATATAACTCAGCTTTAATTTTCATTTATTAAGAAGTTGACTATGAATTGACTGAAGCCTTGTTTTAACAAATACACACCTACGCAATGGTGGGGACCAACCAAAAAGCAACTTAAGGGAGAAACGGTGACATAGGCACCAAAGGTGGCCAAAACATAACTGTGTCGCTTAAATGGTGTGTCTTATGAAGTGCACTACTGAATAAAAGGTGGCTTTGATGCATTTCTAAAACATGTTTTCTGTTTTTATTTTGAAGGGGTGATTTTAGGCATGCGGTCTCAGAAACATGCATTCTTTTTTGGCTTCACACACCAAACTGTACAACAGATAACCTTAACCTTATTGCCACTATTATGCACTTTTGTCGACATTTATAACATGATCTCCTCCCTTTCTATCTTAATTTCTCTCACACGTACACAAAATATGTGTACTTATGGAAAGTGCTATTCATTGGCAATCATTTTTCTATACATTCATTTTGAACTGCTTTTAGGTCATAGACATAAACCAACAAATCCAGTCTCCTTAGTCCTTTAATGATTCTAAAGTTATTCATAGTGTCAGTAGTAGATAGTTTGTAATAACCAGTTGGTTTTGTATGTGTTAAATGTCTCTGCATTTAAAGGTACTGAGTTGCAGCGTTTTGCCCCTCCTTTTGTTTGCACAGTAGCACAGAAAAACATTTCCTCCCAGTCTCAAGAGACATCCTCTTTCAAAAGTACAGCAGGTGCCAGGAAAAAAAAGATTTCCAACTTCTGTGTTAAACTGAGCCAGCAATATGTGGAAGTAGCCAAATGGTCAGATGATGTTACTGAGAAGAAACACCAAATGGAAGAGGCAACAGCAAAACCAACTCAAGTGAAAGACGAGGAGACACTCAATGTCCTATAACACTGTAAAAAAAAAAAAAAGTCCATGGTTGAACATACAGATTTTAAACTGTGCTCCAAGTTTTAATTTATGTTATAAACCCAGGACAAAACTTAAACCTCTCACAGAGGTCCATTAAGTATCAGTTGTGAACCTAGATCCTAATAATTAGATAGTGATTTGAATTGAAATGTGAACGTGCTGGATTTGAGGTTAATGATTCTCGCGTAACTGCCTAGACGGAAATGTTTGTTGGTTTTGCTCACATCCTGCAGAATTGTATTAAAATAGCTATCACATGAGTGACCGTGATGTATTATTATAACAGTACAGATAGTAAGTGTTTCTTGTTTGTTTTGAGCAAATTAATCTTCAGTAGCCGTATACCATCCAATTTATTTATTTACAAAATAAAATGTATTTATTTTGTTCCTGAAGAAAGTTTTTTGTACCATATTTTGCTGTAAGTAATCTGTGCAGATGGAGGCTTTTATTGTGAAAAGTTGGACCGGACGGTTACTGTCGTCAGGCACGCTGAAATCACGAGCGCGGAAACGGTGAGAGGTGTTTACATCCCGTACATCAGGAGGTCTAAACTCAAAACTGTATGAAATCCTGCCACGCTTACGGCAACAAACGATATTTGGTCTGAAGGGTTTGTGTTTAAATGTTCAATTAAGTTTTAAAAATAGTTCATGTTCACTGTTAACGAACTGCCACGACGTGTCTCTCCATCCGCTGTTCTTCTATAACTTCATTAAAATGTGATTCTGTACCGTTTGATTCAAGATGAACTCAGCAGGGTTTATGAACACGTAACGTTGCTACTCTGATTTTGGTGGTTTATTTAAATGATATCTTAATCACCGGAAACTGTTTTACCCTGCACAGAACTGAAGTTACGTCGTCACAAACTTTTCCTTTGAGTCAGTGTCAGAAACCTGCCAGCATTAATGTTATTACCAAGTCAGAACCATGTTCAGTGCTTTAGGGTTTACATGTATAACTTAAACGTATTTAACCACAGCCTACTGATTATAATTTACATTGGAAAGGTCATATTTGTAATCATTTGTTATTCCTCTGTCTGCAGATGGCTAGGGAAGATGGACCAACCTTCATCCTCTCCCTCTTCTTTTTTCTCTCAGTGTTATCATCTGTATGTGACTGTCATCCACACTCACTAGATAGGGCTGTGTCCAATCATACTAAAAGGAAAGGTAATCCAAACCCTCATATGAATGGAGCAATAAAAGCATTAGCATGGAGATCAGTTTCCTCTAGTTTATTTTTTACTTCAGTCATACTGTTAAGAAGGGTTCATATTTGAGGTACGATCACCATGGGGGGCATCGGGTCAGGATGCAGGAATCCAACAAGACTTGATTTTTATGTAACAGGTTTATTTCTTTTCAAGTTAGGTGAACCATAAAGGGTAACATAAGACACACATGGGATTGAACATCCATGCTGAAAGACAAAATAAAATACTATTAGTACAGTAAACAAGTAAATTACATTACTTTCTGAAAGGAAATACAGATAAATAAAGTGCTTAGGACAAATTAAAATGGACTAAATAGTAACTAAAATAGGAGTGAAAGCCACCTTACCATTGCTGAACTGCTGCCCCATGTGAGGATGAAAACATGAGTGCAAGGGAGTGCCGTCTTAAATCAGGAGTAGGCAGGTGAATTAAATCTAATTAATTAATGACAGAGTGCAAACAACAACCAATCAAGGGGGAGAGGAGCAAGTGAGAAACCAGGAAGTTTTCTAAAGGAGGTGCAGTAGGAAAAGGGAGGAAGTGAAAGGAAACAAATAGTTATCTTTACTACACATACATCTATCTCTAAAGCCATGCACATCACACCCATGCAGCTGTCAATAACTCGGGTTGACAGACCTCTAGACAGTTTAAAAGATAATTGTGTAAAGTGTCCGCTATAAGCAGGTTCCGCAAAGCAGTAGAGTGGTGGAAAGGTCATTCAGATAGTATTTTAAAAACGACACAGCTTTATTCACTAGAATACAACATAAAACAAAAATGTCATATGGTACTCCTTCCTTGTGATTTTCAGTCTTTGTGATTGTGATTTATAAGAAAAGATCCATGTAGCACATTTGTGCAAATTATTACTTACAGTAATGAAGATACATTATGACTTACACTCTCCAAGGTGTACAACTGTGTGTTTATACTCCTTTCTTATGCATAATGGTTTAAAGATCTTTGTTTGAGGTCTTTGTTGAATCCTTGAATTATGCTGTGAGCAGTATATTTACTTATATACTGAAATGACAAAATATTATATTTTTGGTGGGATAGTTCGTTGAAATATTACAATATTAATGTCAAAAAATACAGTTTGGAAGTGAAATCTGGCTTTATATGTTTCTGTGTAACGCAGTCCCAGACATAGCCACAGAGGTAGCAGGCTATGTTGATGTGGCCAAAAAGATTATTGACCTGGCCGTGTTCGGTGCTGCCCAGAACCGCTCCTACACACGGCTTGCAGATTTTACCGACACCATAGGGAACCGTGTCAGTGGCTCGCAGAACCTGGACCTGGCCATCAAATACATGTACACTGCTATGACACAGGATGGGTTGGATGTACATCTCGGTGAGTATGCCTTGTTACTGGGGTGTTATCGCAAGATGTTATAAGAGGGCACTGAGTGTAAAATTCAGAAATAAGTTGCACATAGTGAGCTTTCATGACTGGTTTATCCTTTGATTAATGTAACAGTAGTTCTTTTCATCATTCTCTTCTCCAGAGCCAGTCAAAATCCCACACTGGGTGAGAGGGAAGGAGAGTGCAGAAATGATTGCGCCTAGGGCCAAAAGTCTCGCTTTACTTGGTCTGGGTAGCAGTGTAGGGACACCACCTGAAGGTAAAGACGAAATCTGATATCATTTTACAGCCTTTCATCCACCTCCCGTTCACTACCTGTCTCACTCGTATCTCTGCAGGTATCGAAGCAGAGGTGTTGGTGGTTAAGTCTTTTGAGGAACTGAAGCAAAGAGCCAAGGAGGCCATAGGGAGGATTGTGGTCTTCAACCAGCCATTTGTCAGCTATGGAGAGACGGTGGCTTACCGTGCTTTCGGAGCCACTGAGGCAGCCAAAGTGGGAGCTGTGGCAACGCTCATTAGATCTATTACTCCATTCTCTATTAACAGGTATTGATCTATGAAGAAGAATGAATACAGCTACATCTTACTACAGCTAAAGGGCCCATAAACCTGACATTTGACCCTAAACTTCTAAATCAAAAGGCTCAATAGATTTTTATAGAAGCTTAATGCTTTCACCTCTCCCGCTCTAGTCCCCACACAGGTTGGCAAGATTACCAAGATGGAGTGAAGCGCATCCCTACTGCCTGTATTACCGTGGAGGACGCAGAGCTGATGTGGCGCATGGCACAGAGGGGGCAGAGGATTGTGGTCAGACTCACAATGGGAGCCAAGACTCTGCCGGACGCTGACTCCTTCAACACAGTGGCTGAGATTAAAGGCTGGCAGCACCCTGATCAGGTCAAACTCACTCTATGTTAACACACACACACATGACTTTCTATCTTGTTTTATTGTTTTTTTTTCTTATCACACACTTTTTATTACAGTGTTTTAGTGTCAGATAAAATCTCTTTCTGTTGGCCTTCCAAATTAATTGCATGGGAAACAGATGTCCTGTTTTGATTTTCTGGTCTTAATAAAGGCTCCATTATTTGGTCCTTTTCCCTCTCTTAATAAGTCTTCTCTGTGTCGATTCTTCAATTTAGTTGGACAAAGAAAGATGGCTAAGCCTCCCTTTGCTGACTAAAGATTTTCCCACAGCTGTTGAGTCTGCCTTTAGTTTGCTTGTGTGTGTGGGAGAGTATGAGATTGTGTGTATGTGGGTGTAATCTTTCCAGAGAACCACTGAGGCTCAGATGGATGGAAAGGCTGAGATAATCAGTGCAGGAATACATATTATCAACTACAAAATTAAAGCCCAGCATTTCCACATTGCATTAACAACATTTTTTCATTAACCGGGCATACTGAAACAGTGTTTCAGTGTCATGAGAAAATATTTCTTGTTGTGTTTTATTGTGTTGAAACCATACACTGAAATGAGCAAATAAATCAAATATGAAATGAAATTAACCGGGCATTGTGTTTAAGACTCTCATTGTGAGAAAGGTCTTGTGCATCCTCAAGAGGAGAGTTTGTCCCGTGTTTTCATGGAAGAACATATATGTGGAAGATACCCAAACCACGTATTAACCATCAGACTCCTTTATAATAGAATAAAAGGTAAAACTATGGTCCAAGTCGGGAGCCTATCACTGCAACGAATGCACACATGTCTGACTCAGATTGCAGAATGTAATGTTGTCCAATGTTACTTACAGGTCCTCAGCAAGTATGTGGGTAAGGATTCAGACACGTCTAGCAGGTGTAACCTGATCAACAGAAACGTGCTCAGCACAAACCTTCACATGCTTGGAGGTAAACAAAGAGGAGTATGATGCCAATGGCAGAAGTGACTGATGTGTCCGTCACAAATAGGACTATATTGAAATTGATGTGGGCTCAGAATTCAAGGAGAAGAATGCGCACAAATGGGTATAAAGTTAGAGTAGCAAAGAAACTGAAGGAACAGTTTTGAGGTCTTGTTGTCTGCTAACAGATGTGGGCAGGATCTTTGTTTTTGTATTCACAGGGACAGCCCCAGCTGAGTTCAACTAGCATGTCATAAAGAGCTGAACAGGGTATGTAAAAGTGACTGCATAGATTCGTGCAGATGAGTGGGAGAACCCATGTGAAACAGAACTGCTGTTGTCAAACTCCTTGAAGCCCGTGTGAAAGTCCCACATTGTAATTAATGAGTCATGGTGTGTAGTCTGCATCTAGGCGGAGGTTATCTGGAGCATGGGTGTTTTATTGTTGTTAAAGAAGTGTGTATATTGCATTGGGGATAGAGGCTGCTGTACACACTTTAATCTCGAGATGTGTTTTGTTTGGCACTTGAAGGTAGATGGGTGTGCTGTTGGTATTTCTCAGTGTGATTATGAGCTGCATGTGGGTAAAATTTTATTCCCTCACAAGCCTGTTGAGCCTGCAAATACAATGCCTGCCCATTTAACTAGAGCAACACATTACATGCTGACATTGTGGTCCAGAAGGTGAAACACAGGCATTCTGACTTTGGTTGCTAACAGAGAACTGCAAAGTGTGTTATTGTGTCTATTATATTTCAGCACTTCCCAGTTTGACTGAAGTTAACTTCAACTTCTTCATAAACAGCAGATTAATTTGTGAGAAAAAACTGGAGCTATATGAAAAATAAGTCAGGAGACTTGGACAACTGATGACATAATCTGTTACTATTCTGATCTGGGAACCAACCACGTCTTAGTCCCTCATTATAGAAAAGGGAAATGAAACACATGGCATGGATGACATCATAATTGGCTCTGTGACTTTGTGGGATGACTAGCAATAGCTGCAGTTATGGTGTGTGTGTGTGTGTGTGTGTGTGTGTGTGTGTGTGTGTGTGTGTGTGTGTGTGTGTGTGTGTGTGTGTGTGTGTGTGTGTGTGTGTGTGTGTGTGTGTGTGTGTATATAAGTGAGTCATTTCCACAGTTTAGCTTTGCTGAGGCAGCTAGAGTCAACTGAGAGTGATGATATTTTATACCCACTCAACCTCTACATTCTACAATTCACTTAGCAGTCGCTTTTATCCAAAGCGACGTACATCAGAGAGTAAGTACAACACAAGCAAGGATCTAGAAAAAAGGGAACAATGTCAGTAAGAGCAAACGATCAGCATTGAGTCCGATTGGACACACAGGTGCTGACAGGCATTGCACAGAGGCAAAGCACAACATTGACATATTCTTTTTCATGAAAACTTTAACTTTTAACATCTAAATCGTCTTGAGGTCAGGTGTGAGCCTTCTTACTATAATTACACATGAAACAAAATCATGTTACTAAACAGTAACCGGGATGAGTCCTGACTGTAGACGTCACTGTGCCGTATCTAAACATCTTCCCACTTTGTGAAGTCTCATGATTCAGACTATGTTAATGACATTTTAACTACCAGCGCCCTCTTCCAACACGCTGTAACAAGCAGCCATAAGCAGACTGCTAGCAATACTAGTCAGCTGCTTGTAGCCTTTAGTGGTAAAAGGGAGAAATTGATGCCAGCAGAGGCAGCAGGAACAGTTGTCCTGGTATTTCAACATGGCTGCTGGGCTGAATTTTATTACAACAGTGTGTTGATGAGAAAATTCCATCTGAACTGTTGAATACCTGATACATGCTGTGACCAGGTGTAAACCCTTACTTGGGAAACTCAGGGTTAGAGGAAAGAGATGAAGTGGAAGACAGTTCTGACATGCAGAACCAGCTCAGTCATTTATAGTACCTGCAGACAGAAACATGTCAGTATGTTGCTGTTCCTTTGTTCAAGTGTGTATCATCCGTTATCATATTACTAACTGATGCTGCTTAAACCATTCTCACTCTGACAATGCTTACATTAGGATTTTTAGCATGATGAAACTTAGTTTAGTACCAGTATATCATTACGCTAACATGCCATCAGCAGAAAACCCGGTGGTGCTAGAGGAAAAGTCCAAGGATCATCTTCAGGGCACCATGGATTCATTGCCAAAATTACAAGCCAAATCACTCAAAGATATTTTAGTCTGGAACAAAGTGAATCAGCCAACGTATGACATTGCTAAGCTTAGAGTCATGACACTGGCTCGGCCAAAAAAAATATTAGAACTTCTGTTAGATAAGATTTTGAATTGAATGTGTGGTCTCATGGTCATTGTTCAGTCTGTGCTCATTCAGGTCAGAAAATGATAAATAACTAGGACTATCGGGAGTATCCCACTGACGGGAATCCCACCCCCTATACTTACTGGAAGTGTGGAAATCACTCTGAACTCTGTGTTTTTCTTCTTTGCTTTCCTGTTTTATTGGGCCAGTCTGTGTGCCCCTGCATACCAACTAAGTTCAATTTAAGTTGTACCGTGTAGCTAGATGTTTGTCTGTACTTTAATAAAATGTCTGTCTCTTATGTTTATGCCTCCTTTACTGTCCTATCTGGTAGGTTGTCATTTTGAGTGGACATTTGGACAGTTGGGATGTGGGCCAAGGAGCCATGGATGATGGAGGTGGAGCCATGATTTCTTGGGAGGCCCTGTCACTCATCAAGGACTTGGGTATAACTGAAAGAGATGTATAAACACAACATATACAGTATAGTGATGCACTTGTGAAATTCCAGAGTAAGAGGATGTAAATACTGTGGAAATGCAAAGAGAGTTTATAAACAGCAGCATGTTGCACAGCTCCTACACAAACACAATCTAGCCAATGATTGACTTTTGTTTTAGCTTTATATAACATGTTTGTTCTTCTGAGACCAGAACCTTAACAGGTGACTGGTCATAAAAACTTTGTGACACATGGCCTGAAAAAAGCTCACATTTGACTCCCTGGTTGTTGAACTTGAACTGAAAGTGAGTGAACACCATGACAAGAGAGCAGATTGTCCAGCTCCAAACTAGGAAGCAAATAAAACAATTCCACAGACTGTAAACAGTCATTTCCTACAACTGTCTGTAAAGGAAAAACAATGTGCATAATAAGGAAACTGGGATTAAGGATTTGCGTCATTTTGTTTTTCAATAAAAGTAAACTTTTTCCCCTTTGTTTTTCTTTATATATTTTTAAATTCTGTTGCTTTGTGTGTTTAGTTGAGCTTTTTGTTGGTTTACAGGTTTGCGTCCACGGAGGACTCTGCGTACGGTGCTGTGGACGGCTGAAGAGCAGGGTGGAGTCGGAGCACAGCAGTACTACAATCTACACAAGGTACTGTTTACTGTTACTGCACTATGTAATAGAAAACGTGCAGTAAAAGGGGTCAAGCAAATTGTGTCTGCTTTATTCACAGCTTGGTCTGAAACTATGATCAGGCCAACTGAGAACCTTGGCAGACTTCCTGCTGCTTTGATAAGAAGCAGGAACAAACAGACTACATTGTAATAGTGAAAGCATAGATTGTAGAAATCTACTTCCAGACATTGAGAGAGGTCCTGGCTAGCCATCCGATTTCTCTTTGTGCAAAGCAGTCAGACAAACAGTCCTGCAGAGATTCCAGCTTTAGAGCTTTGGCTGCCCACCAGGGGATGATCTGTAATATCATTGAGCATTGAGGGGCGGCTGTGGCTCAGGATCCCCATTAGCCACTACTTACGTAGCGACTACTCTTCCTCGGGTCCACTCATACAAACATGAATTTAAAATCCACACAAATTAAATTATAAAAAGTCCAAGACAGAACAGAAAAAGACAAAAATATAAATAAATGACAGCACAATAACAGGCAAAGTACAAATCAAGAACACCAAGATGAACCTATTGCAAGTCAAAAAGATTATCTCTCAAATGTTCACGTTATATCAATAAATACAGTGTTAATGTTAAAATCGTGTCAGGAAAACGGGAAAGTGGGACACAGGTGCGGACCCAGGGGTGTCTTAAAGTTATCCAAGAAGGATAACCACAAAAATCGCAAGCGATAGATTGGAGGGGGGGGTAGGGAACAATGAAAACAGTATAGAGCCAAAACACTCCTCTAACTAATGCACTGAAAATTATCAACTAAACCACTGCTGCCAGGCAGCTGACTCGAAACTATATTTTCCGGGAGACCCAGAAACAATTCATGGAAGTAAAGGCTGCCAGGGAGGCCTTAAAACTCTACACAAAAGGCTGGGGTATATCAACTACCCAGCACCCCAAGTTATTTTGGCAATAGACACAAATACACAGAAAGTTATTGGTTTGTGTTTATGAACACACAGACAACAAGCGACAACACAGGGAGACCCTCTCACTACCTCTGAAGGTGAGATAATGAGTCAGCACAGAGCACTGAATTCCAGGAGTATATATAAGCTCCCCACACCTGGTTTTAATCAAGACCAATCAGCCACAAACACACCTGACTCTGCACTTAGGTGATTCATTCACCAACCCCAGTGAGAAGCCAGAGAGTTTGTCCTTAAAAATTGTATAATTATTTTCCTACTTAAAACAAGAAAAACATACACACATTTACATACATACTGTATATGCATACACATACACACATATACACAATAAACATAGAAATTCTACACTAATTATCAAACATTGGTATTACAATTGATAAGTTCATGAGAGTCTCAGTGACACTAGATATTTCTTTAATTTCTTTTTTAAAAACGGTTTTACTGGTCAGACTGGTAATATCTGATGGAAGATCATGCCACATCTTCAACAGTTTGTTGTCTTACGTTAGTGTTAGAGGGTGGATGTGTAAAACAACCTCTTGTAGCATGTTTAGTATTGAAATCATGACCATTACCATTAAAAAAAACAATTGATTAAACAATATATTTGGAATTTCACACATTGAAATATTTCTAAAAAAGCAAAGCAGAGAAATCATCGTCCTTTCTTTCACCAATGGCCAACCTAAAGTTAAATGCAATTTTGTGATATTAGCTCTTCTGTCACAGTTCAGCTCAAGTGAGTTAGGACTAAGGTTTGTATAACACGAGAGATACAATGCTGTGGTAAAAACTTTGTGCTTCTCCTTATAACTGCCAGACCTCTCCCCAATAACTCTGACAGTTTTCTCAATTGGCTTAGACTTCTTCAGTCTGCTGTCTAATAGCACACCAAGGAGTTTAACTTCTTCTACTTGTTCCACAGGAACTCCTTTTACAGATACATGTAACTGTGGATTATCTTTTAGTCTAACATTTGTTGCAAATAAAAATGCTCTTTGTTTTTGATAAATTAAGAATTAACTTGTTACCCCATGCCCAGTTTACAACAGCCTGTAGCTCCTGCTGGTAAGTAAAGTGTTGTATCATCTGCATACATCACTGCTCAGGATTGATTTAGAACAAGAGGAAGGTCATTAGTGAAAATTAGGAAGAGTAAAGGTCTAGAGTCAGCTGTCTCTCAACTGGAAGGTTTGGGGTTCGATCCCCAGCTCCCAAAGCAATGTCTGATGGGCAAGACACTTAACCCCAAGTTGCATGTGTATGAATGATTTAGTTTAATACTGATGGACACTTTACATAGCAGCCTCTGCCATCAATCTATGAATGGGTAGGTGTGACCTGCGGTGTCAAAGGGATAGTCAAAAGACAAGAACATTTACCAAGTCCATGTAATAAAGTACAGAAATAGAGACACACACTGACTGAATTCAACCCAAAAAAGTACATTTTTTACACATGAACCCTCTAACAGAGTGTGAAGTTCTAACATGTGCTACTGCATATTATTAAAACTAAAATAGCCACAGTTATATGAGGCAGATAATGCATTAAATGGCCTGCTCTTTCCATTGAATGAAGCTCTCTTAGTTTTAGGTTCTTTGTTTTGTGTCCATGTCCTCGCTTGATATATTTTTGTCTTTTCCTCTTCTCTCTGCTCTTTCTTACTCCCGTCTTTGTCCTCTTTCCACACAGGTGAATCTGTCCAACATTGACATGGTCATGGAGTCTGACTCGGGAACCTTCACCCCAGTGGCTCTGCAGTTTGCTGGCAGTGATGCAGCAAAGAAGGTAGGATTAAGATAGAAACTACCGTGTTCTTCAAATAAAAGTTTGAGTTCTGTGTTTTTTTCTTCCATCTTCTCCCCTTTTCTTGTTAAACCTATCTTCAGACATTGCTTCTTAGATTAGTTATTTTTACGAGGTCCAAACATAAAATTTTCCATTTAAGCTACACATATTCTCTGTCTAGTATCTCGTCTCAGGAGGAAATAAATCACTGGCACAGGAACCAAAGCAGTGACTTCAGAAAGTCAGTGTCCTCTATGTGGACATTACATCCAGTTACATGGTCATACAACATTGACGATGACTACATCATGTTTAATTACGTTCTAATAGACACTTTGCTGGTGTTTGTTTAAACAGGTGATGGAAGAAGTGGTCAAACTGTTGGCTCCCATTAACACCACCAAACTGGAGGCACACGGAGAAGGGACAGACATCTCACCTTGGATGCAGGCTGGTGTGCCAGGTGAGATTCAATGTTTTAGCACATGTTGGTGATAGGGCAGGACTTTTCAAAGTGTGTTTGGGCTGGTTGGTTGGTGGGGGGCAGAGACATTGCAGTGGTGGGGGAGGGCACATGACTAGATCAAACAGGGTCTATTTAACCAAGATGCCAAGTAAAACTTGGCCCGTTTAGTCACCATTTTACAATTATGTCATATAATTAGAACTATGATGATATGATAAAAGGCAAATTAAAAACATGTTATGAACATGACTCTTTTTGGATCATAAACCAAAAACAGTGGAAAAGGGAAGTAACACATCCTAATTTCTGTGGTAGATGACCTTTCTTTTCTCTGGAAAATACTGTGTTTCATTTCCTCAGGAGGAATTTTGTATTGTTTAGCGGGAAGTGGCGAAAGATTTGCTCTGAGGGGATTTTTTTTTTTTGAATTGGAGTTTAAACTCAAAAAGTGAAAAAAGGCAAGTGTCAGTGTGGTCAGTTCTCAAGTTGAATCTCAGTCTTGATGTGACCAAGTGATTCAATTTGTGAAGTTGTTGATAACTGAAACAACAGGGTAATTGTATTGGTATTTTATTAGTTTCTTTTGAAAATAAATCATTGCTTAATGTTGGATATATTGAAACTCAGTCAACATAAATCAGCCTTACTAACAGTTTATTTGTTCAGTTTTCACACAGACCTCTTTACATTTTAACTACTGTTAAATAACATCTTTGCCTCTGTTTTCGTTTCGAAGAAGTGAATACAGTAATTTTTTATACTTTAGATAACTGAAAGAAAAAAATAATTACTATTATTTTTAACAGCCCTAGTATTACTACTTTATTACTACTATTTTGCTTTTACTATTTTTACTACATTGCTACCACTGCTACTGTGGCGGTGTATGAATGGATTAGTGTTGTACTTACTCTATGATGTACGTCACTTTGGATAAAAGCGTCTGCTAAGTGAATTGTAACATTGTAACATACTTGTGCTATTTAAACTATCAGAACACAACAAGAACCTACTGTACAGATGTGGTGTCCAGATGTGATGTCCTTAAAAGTAGGATCAGAGGAGAGTCCCCTATAGCAGATTTAAAAATGATTTCATCATTATTCAAATAATTGTAGATGTTGCTACCAACACACTACTAAACACAAAGGTAAGTTGCAAGTAAAACAAAAAAGTAATGTGACTTATTGTCATCTTGATAAAAAAAAATAGGATAAATGTTGTTCATGAAGAACCCTGGTAGAAATATAGGCTCTGTAGTATTCTCTTTTTGGGGTGTTTAAAAAATGTATATGCTTTTGAAAGCTGTTTAATGAAATCACATTAACAAGCCTACACTTTACACTTAAAGATATAATGTTCTATTAAAAAGACAGAAGAAATGTCTGCATTAAGCTAATTATGTAAGGAAACCCAATAACAGGGTCCAGCTTTGGAAAGGCTTCTGACCAGTCACCAGTTTCTAAGCAGGTCTGAACTCACATAGAGCTGCCAAAATCTTTGTGAATATTTCCCTATTTTTTTTAACCTTAAATTAAAATGAACCTGATTTCATTTTCTTGTGGTTTTGGTCCTGACTGATTCACTATAGCCAAGTAGAAGTGAAAGTGCTTTTTTCTCAGAAACACTTCTAGGTCTAACTTGTAGAAGAGGAACTGAAAACTAAATGAGCTGCCTCTGCAGTTCTGGTTGCTACAGGAGTATTATAAGTTCTGGTAGCTACAAGAATTATTGATAAATGGTAAATGGACTCAAGCTTTTCTTATCTTCTGCTTACTCAAAGCACTTTTACACCGCATGCTACAACTACCCATTCACACAATGATGGTAGAGGCTGCTATGCAAAGTGTCCATTGGTATTAACGAATAGCATTTATACACGTTCATGAGAGGGTGTGGAGATGGAATATCCCATTGCAATCCCCACTTCCATGTCAGATGTGTCCTTTGGCATGACACTTAAGCCCAAGTTGCTGCCGCTGCTTTCTCGGCGCGGGCACACATGTTCACCAGTGGGTGGCAGCACCTGGAAGAGGGGATTGCAATGGGATGTTCCATCTCCACATCCTGTTCATGGAGGCATTTAAGGTCATCTTTATTCGATCGAGTCAGGATGCGGGGGGAGTCTGGCAACTGGTAGGCCATTTTCCACTGGGATCTACATGGACGAGACCATTTGTCTGCTCCAACCTGGACCATGTACATCCAGACTCCTGAAGAGGCTGAATTAACTGCTTACCTGGGCAAGAATGAAATTCACGGCATGCAAGTCAATGAGTTTTTTCTTGGAAAAAAGAGAATTGCGCGTCAGTACCGTTGATGGGATAAAACCCCTTGAATTGCAGACCAGCCCATCTGAAGTCTGGGAAGGCAATATACAGCTATTCTCTCAGAGAAAGAACTGGGGAAAACCATACTGCAGCAGCTTTCAGAAGGCTTGTCAATGATTGTGTCATGTCAGCTAACTTCAGTCTGCACCTAAGCTACATAGGTTACCACAGGTCCAAAAAGCAACAGGAAGGAAATGGAGCTCTGAGCTGGAGGTACAGAAAGCAGTGAATAGACTCTCAACACCAGGAGGTTGTGGGCAAGGTCCAGACAGGGTGGGAAGGCTTGGGATGGGGTGAGCCATCCATTGTACCGTCCAGAGCAAACAAGAGGGAGAGGAAGGACCTTGTTGTGTCTGAGGTTGTCAGAATGGAGCAGCAAGAGTACAAGGGTACAGGGCATTGCACTAGAGCAGTATGGGTACTGGACAACATAGAGGGGAGTGTCAGGAGTTGAGCCTTTAACTGGGCAGACATTGAGTCACAGGCTTGACTCAGCTTTATCATCACACCAACCTATGACACCCTACCCTACCTTGCAACCTTTTCCAGTGATTTGTGATAGTGACATCTACAGGACCACCAAGGCCTTCCTCATGCACTGTTTGTTGAGATGCAAAACAACACTGACCCAGGGTGGGTTCAGATGTTGGCATGACTAACCGCTCATGAAGTTGACAGAGGTGATGGAGAGAAGAAGGCAAGAGCCAGTAAGAACTCAGCAGTGACCAAGCACTTCAGTAGCACTTTGGCAGCACTTTCTCAGGCAGAGTGGAACCAGAGGCCAACACTAACAGAAGTAGATCTGTTCAGAGATTTCTTGAACAACTGTGTCTCAATTGTGTTGTCATTGTCAGGGAAACTTCTTTTAATCTCTCTTTTTCTCCATTTCTCTTCTCCCAGGTGCTAGCCTTCATGTTGAAGACAGTCGATACTTTTGGTTCCACCACAGTGAAGGTGATACTATGACAGTCCAGGATCCTCAAGACATGAACCTCTGCTCAGCATTGTGGGCTGTGGTTGCCTATGTGGTGGCAGACCTACAGGACATGCTTCCCAGGTAGCCAATTGGTACATTGCAATCTGAGGCTCAAATCAAATTAAATTTGGGTTTAAATAGATACAAATTGAATGTCAACTCTCCGAGGATAAACTAATGAATCCAGATGATAAAGGGAGAAACTGCATCTTTTTTTTAATCATGTGTAAATGCTTGTTTTATGAACGAGACAAGACCAAGAAAATAAAGAGAAATGTGAACGTTCTCAGGTGCTTTACTGTCTTGATGCTTCAATCAATGTAGTCAATCAATTTAGTTTCTGGAAGTGTAGAAATTAAATGTAACGCCTTTAAGTGTTTAAAATCAACTACACAATTGATGAGAGAGGGAGAGTGCTTCTTGTAGTCCAGTGAGGAAAAAAAACTAAGATGAAAATAAGTGTATAGAGAAATTGTAGAGCTGTCCAAGTTCCCAATGTTACTGCAAGTATTCATAAAGCCTTTATTTTAACATCATTTGTATCACTTGTATCATCTGTTATATCTGTTGTTATCATCGGATTTTTTTAAGTATAATTTATTCTGCCTGTATTATTAGTAACTGTGGACATTTGTTTCATAAAGCAACATTGTAACAATCACTATTTTTGGACTAAGGGGAGGAGTTTGATCAATGTTGTGGGGCTTCTCCTGAAGTCAACCGTCATCTCCAAGTGTCTTAAATGGGTTTATCTCCAATTGGTTCTGAACGCACCAGAGGGCCAGCTGTTCCACCTCCTGTCTGTGAGCAGACTCATCACCATCCTGGATTAGACCTATGACAGTGGCAAACTTCAGGAGTTTCACAGAAGGGTCGGCTGAGGTGCAGTCAGTCATGTAGGGGCAGAAGAGCAGCGGGGAGAGAAGACACCCCTAGGGGGGCGCAATTGCTTATTGTCCAGGCGCTGGATGAGATGCTCCCCGGTCTCACCTCCTGTCAGTCAGGAGTTGTCAGTCATAAAACTGAATGTTATTTTATTTTCAAATTAATTGTATTTATTAAGT